AAAAAAAAAAAAAAAAATTAATGATATATTAAAAAAAAAAAAAAATAAAAAAGATTAAAAAAAACTTTCAAAAATTATATATTATAAATAAATAATATTAAAAATAAATATCAATAAAAAAAAGAATAATCATCATAAATTTTTATAGATGCTTTAAAAATAAATTCATATATAACATGTGGTGCTTACAGAAAATATATAATTGAATCTCCTTTTCAATGAACTACCAGTTATTATCAAAAATTATACTTTTTTCCTCATATTTATAACATTCATCTAAAGCACTTTTACAATATTTTTGTAAACAAAAAAAGAAAAAAAAAAAAATTAATTCATAGAATATAAAATAAAATATGAAAAATAAAAAAAAAAAAAAAAATGAATAGTAAAATACCTATTTTATTTTAAGCTTATTATTTTATTGCATGCATACTCAAATTATAGCTTTTTTTTTTTTTTTTTTTTTTTTTTTTTTTTTTATATATATAGGATCTTTTGTTTTTTTTTTATTCGAATTAATAAATTAATAAAATTTCTTTTTTCATAATATTTTCAATTAAAGTGAAAAGTATTTTAACAAAAAGAAAAATACATTAATAAAAAAAGTGTGAAATAATACAAGAAATTATATATAAAAAAATTTTAAAATAGTACAAAATTCAATAACATAAAAATATAATTAAATGAAAAATATTTTAAATATTTACAAATGTAAAAGTAGTTATGGAAAGTTAAAATTTAATTTTTTTTATAAACACTAACATATAAGTCACTTTTTTTTTCAGTTAATTTTAGTGAATGTTTTTTTTTTTTTTTTTTTTCCAAATGAAAAAGAAAATTCCATCTTACTTCGCATATATGTAATTTTTTAATATACACATTAGAAAATAAGTATAATTATTGGTTTTTTCTAATGTTTATATTTTAAAATATAATGTTATAAAAAAAATATTCATTTTTAACTCTAAATTTTAAATTTATAATTTTTGAATGAATTTTTTTGATAAACGCATTTCATCTATTTTGTCTTTTAAAGTTTTTTTTTTTGAAATATCTTTTTTCCTTTTTTTTTTTCAAAAACTTAATGAAATGTTACATTCAATAGGTATAGTTTTCTTTTTCATTTAACATTTTATCTTTGAAAAGTAATTTTTACTTTTCGAGTGCATGTTAAAAATTAAATTTTTAAAAGTATATTCAAACATAAAAAAAAAAAATAAATAAATAAAAAAAAAAAAAAAAAAGAAGAAAAGAGAAATGAAAATGAAAAATGAAAAATGAAAAATGAAAAAAAAACATTTTTTTCATGTTGTTGAAAACGACCTATCTTTATCAAATGATAATTCTTTTGATTTTTCTAATAATTCTAATATAGACAATGAAAGTAAAGTAAAAAAGGAAAATAATTTTTCCGATGAAAATGAATATATTGATTTTTCGGATGATAAGTCTAATAATATTACTAAAAGAAATGCTTTGAATTTCTTAGGTTTAAATAAAAAAAAATTAGAAAATTTTAATTTTAATAAAGAAATAAATGAAGGCACTAATAATGCACGTATAAGAAATACAAAGCATAAAATTTGCAATTTAAGTGAAAAGTTATTTTCTGAAAAAACAAAGTGTAAAAATGAAAATAATAGCAACTTAACTTATGCTATCAATGATAATTTTGTCTTTAATTCAAGGCAAATTAATAGAAATATTAATGAAGATATTTACAAAAATAATCAAAGTAATAATAAGGAATTTTATTGCATGAAACATATAATTCATAATAACTTAAATAATAATTATGATAAAAATGATATTAAGGTTTTCAACATTTATCATAATAATAGAGCTGAATGCTTATTTAATGATGTGAGTGTAATAAAATTCTATGGGTATAAGAATATCTGTATTTATGAAAATAAAAATTACATATATAGAGAAATTAATAATAAATTATTTCAACATAAAAATAAAACAGAAATGTCTTCATTTAATCCAGATAGTGATATTTATGAGTACATTTACAACAATAAAATGAAATTAAAAAATGATAATAATGAAAATGATGATATTCAATGTTTTCAATTTTATATTCATAAATATCCTTCTTTTTTAAAAGAAAAAATAAAGATATTTGTTCATATATACAATATGTTTAGCATATATCCATATATTAATCATAAATTTATTGAAGAAGAATTGTATTCAAAAAGTCTAAAAATTCTTTATTCTCCTGAAAAAATTTTAAATATTAAATGGAAGTTTTTTGAGAAAAAAGAATTAAAAATTATTTTAAATGATATTATAATAAATAAAAAGGAATATAATTTACAAGAAAATTTTGTAAAAATTAATGATTTTATTTATATTAATTTTTTAACACAAGAAATAAAAATATGTGATATAAAAAGTATGAAATTTAATAATTATATAATTTTAAATGGGAATGGATTATGTTTTTCAGCTTACTATTATTTAATTGTTCCTTATCATAGATGTATTAATGAAAATGAGATAGATAAAAATAATAATTATAATTTCAACTATGAATATATTTTTTTATCACAATTATTTAATATTTATGACAATTTTAACATATGCTTTTTGTACCCACTATTTATTGCTTACTTTTTTTATTATCATTTATTTATTAAACAAAAAGTAAATATAGCGTCTTCTTTTTATTATCATAACATATCATTAGAAGAAAACTTAAATAAAAAAAATAAAACAAACGTGCAATACAACAATAATAATGAAGAATCATATATAAATCATTTAAATGATATATATATAAAATTAACGAAATGCTATAAAAAAATAATTATTGATTCAGAAAATCAAAATATAAAAATAACCGATAACATTATCGAATTTTTATTGCCTGAAAGTTGTTACAAAAATTTTGAAAATGTAGAATTTCTTTGTAAAAATACTCATAATCTTTCCTTAATGTACATCATGTGTATAAACAAATATAATTTGGATAGCAAGAAATTATTAAATAACGATGATTATAATGTTGAATATATGAATTTAAATAATAATATAAATAGTAATAAAACTTATGATACTACTTTTAATAATCTTAAAAAGGACTTCAATAATATCACAGATGATATAAGAAAAAAGGAAAGAGAAGAATATTATGAAAAAGTACTGTGTTTTAATGAAATTAAAGAGATCATTAATTTGAGGAATATATTCCCAGAAGACAAAAAATTTTATTTTAATACATGTAATAAAATTGATAATATTATAAAAATTAGCGTAAGAAATGATGGAATTTGTTTTTTTTATATGAAAAATATAAGTGAATATTTATTTTTTTCATTCTTTATAATATTCAATTCCTTAGAAAATCTTTTCCTATTAATGAATAAAAAAAAAACTGAAAATAATAACAAATATTTTGAAACGGAAGAGAAATGTATTTTATCTGTTTTTAATAACACTTCTGTGAATTTAAGTAAAGATGACCAAGAAAGAGATGAAATTAAAAAATTAAGTTCTTATGGGTTAAATTATAATTTTTACAACAGTAGTGATAATAATATATTGAATAATTTTAATGATACAATTAAAAATTATTCAAACAATCATAATTTTAAAAGTATTTCAAGTAAAATATCGAGTTTTGTAAATATAAGCAAGATATTTGATATGAGTAACATAAAAAATATATATAATGACTTTTATATTTGTGAAAATAAAAAAATAAATTCCTTTAAATTAATTAATATAATGAATAAAGAAAAAAAAAAAATTTTAGTTCCATATTATTTCAATAAGAATGAGTTAACTCAATTATTTTTCTTAAGATTATCAAATATACATATATACGATATAAATACACAACTAAATAAAGTTTTCGAATATATAGATTATAATAATGAAACATTCACACCCTTTCTTAAAAACTATGAAAATTATGATATGAACGTTCAATTAGATTTATTAGAAAATATTTATACCATAAATGATGAAATATATTTATTATATTCTAAGAAAATTAACTATACTCATGATATTTATAAATACAATTATTTATATGTAAAAAATTATCTATTGAAAAATTACATTCTTTATTATAACATTTATTTTAACATATGTGATGAATTAAAAAAGAACAAATATTACAAATTAAAATATACGAATAAAAATAAAGAAACTATTTCTATTCATTTCACTGTTTGTTTTAATTATGTATGTGATAAAATAAACTTTCATTTTCAATTAAAACCATTATATTATATAACTCATGTTGAAAAAAACACAGATGAATACTTTGAAGAAAAAAATTATATTTCTTTTATTAGGAATTATGTAAATAGCAAATATGTTGCTTAATAAAAAAAAAAAAAAAAAATGTTTAAAAAAACGTTATATTCTTTTTCAATTCATAAAATATTGCTTATTTTTATATACTTTTTGATTTACATTATATATACATATATATATATATATATATATATATCTATATATTTATATATTTAAATTAAAAATAGTTATTATTTATATTTTAAGTAGATTGAAAAAATAACCATAAAATTAGTTTAAGTTTCTTTTTATATATGAAAATTTTTTTTCTTTTTTACCTCTTCTAAATTAAGGCATTACAATATGATACATTTATTATAATATATTTGTGTATTTTTCAAGGTATTATTTTAATTTATAAATTTATATATATATTGAATTTTAACCTTTCCTGATTATATAGCTTTAATTTTTTTTTTTTTTTTTATTATTATTTTTAATAACTATATCAATTATAATATAATTTATTATTCATTTATTTTTATTACTGAATTAACATTTTTAATGCCATTTTCTTTTTTTCTTAATTTTTGCAATTTTATCTATAATTATTAATTATATTTATGGGTGACACATAATTTTTTTTTCTTGTGAAATTTTTTTTTATATGATAAAACAAAAAATATTGATAAAATGTTTTTACATGTTTAGCACTCATTTTTTTCTTTTTAATTAATTGAATGAACTGATGCTTAATAAAAAAATAGATAACTTTTTCATCGTTCCTTTTTCTCTTTTTAATATATCCATGTTTTAATTTTAAACATAATTCAAATTTTTTATTTATATTTTTAATTTTTTTTAAATTTCTTTTTTTTATCAAATTATTTCTTTTTATTTTATTTATATCTAAATTACTTTTTTCATTTTTATATTTTATTATGCTTAACAAAAAAAGATTTATATTCTTAAGATCAGTTAATTCTTTTCTTTTTAAAAATATAATATTATATATATATATATATATATTTTGGTGAATTGCATTAGTACAAGTTGAAATTAAATATAAGAATAAACATAAATTCTTCATTTGACTTAAAGTAGTAAAATATTTGTGAATATTTTTATATATAATTGTTTTTATATTATGTGTCTTTTTAAATTCATTTAAAAAATCAAAAATATTACATATGTCAACTTCATTAAAATAGTTATAATTTTGAATTCTATCAAAAATATCTAATATTATAGATAAAGAATTAACTAGAGTGTTTTTTTTTAATTGGTTTAAAAAAATTTGATTATTAGATGGAATATTTAAAAGAACAGACGTATTACCATATAATTCTTTTTTTAAAATTCTATTATAAAATGAAATACAGGAAAGAATATAAGTAAAATTTTTCATAAATGAATTTATATTTTCTTCTTTTTTCATCATTTCTAGTGCTTCTATAAAAAAAATCCTATGAAAATTTTCATTAAAAAAATTAGAATTCATTAATAATATTGATAAAATTTTTATTAAGTATTCATAAAAAATAGTTTTCTCTAATTCCTTCTCTTTTCTGCATCCAATTACTTCCTTTAAAAGTTCTTCATAAAATTCGTTATCGTTAATTATTTTTTTATTTAAAATAGAAAATTTTAAAATTTCTAATGTTAATTTTAAAAATAAATTTCTATTTATGTTTTTATAAATAGAAATATAGCACATAAATATCTGTTCAATTTTATACTTATCCTTCATTTTATTATTTAAATCTGTATCTTTTTTATATTTTTTCCTAAAAATATGAATATATTTAAACAATTTGAAAATAGTAGAATTTATGTTATACAAATAAAATTTATTGTCAAATCGTTCATGGTTTACATTTGCATTATTATTAAAAGATACACATAAATTTAAATTCTTATCCTTATAAGATATTTTACCATTATTTGATATATTACGATAACAATTCAAGTAACCTTTTCTTATTTTATGAAACTTTTTTGTAATCATTTTTAATTCATTTTGTTTTACTATTATTTTTTTAATTTTTCATTACTAAAAGCAAATATTCCATAAAAAAAAAATCTCTTTTTAATCGTATTATTAAATTTTAAATGAAAAAAAAAAAAAAAAGGAATTCTTATTTTTCATGATATTCATTGTAATTAACCATTTAAAAAATTGTTTTAATTCACATTTCTCTAGTATTTAAATATTCACATAAGTAGTAAGAAACTAAATTAACAAAAAACTGTGTATTTTTTTTATTTTTTCATTTTTTTTTTTTTTTTTTTTTATGTGTAATAAGCTGAAAGATTTTTTATATAATATAAAAGTGAACAAATATGAAAAATTTTATATAAAATTACATTAAAAAAGAAAAAATAAAGAATGTCAGTATTTATTAAAACCTTGAATAGTTTAATTTTATTTTAAAGATTATTTTTAACCAAATGAATAATAAACTTTTTTTTTTTTTTTTTTTTTTATTATGATATAATTTAATAACTCAATGATTATTTTTTTTTCTCTTTTACTTTTAAAAATGTAACAATGAATTTTTTAAAATTGTTTTTGATGTTGGGATTTGTTATATTTAATGTATCAGCATTTATAAAGCATAAACTGACGTTCATCAATTATGTAAATATAGAAATAAAAAACAAAACTAGACCAATAACAACAATAATATAAATATAATAAAGATGAAATGATAATTATATAATATTCATAGAAACTATAATATAATAAAAAAAAAAAAAAAAAAAAAAATTAAATAAATAAATAAGTAAACTTGTATTGTTAAATATTTTGAATTTTTCAATTTAGGTAGTCACAAAGACAGATAAATATAAAAAAAAAAAAAAGAAAATTTGTTTGTTCATACGCAAAAGTAAAAATGATGATATTGAAAGTTATATTCCTTATATTTATAAAGATGTAGCACCATGTTTAAAAGAATTAGCAGATGAGGTATTTCTTTTTTTTAAGTATTACATTGCTTCTCTTCATACATATATATTAATTTTTTTTTTAGATAATAATAGTTTATATATAAAGTTTTTTTATTGTTATGATTATTTTTTTTGTTTTATTTCATTTTATTTTTGATATATATTTTTTTTATGTATATATTTAAAATGTAGGAGTATTCTTATAAAGATTTGTTGAATGCATACTTTCCTGAAACTATTGAAAGAGAAAAAAGAATAAAAGAAAAAAAGAAACTAGAAGGAGAAAAAGAAAAAGAACAAAATACTCATAAAGAATTAGATTCTAATTTATATGATATAGAAAAACACATAGAAGAAAAGTTAGTAGAAAATAACATACAAAATTTTGAACATATAAATAAAATAAAAGATGGTAAAGTAAAAAATAAAATTTTAGAAGATTCCTATGATATTATCAAAAGTACATTAGAAAAAACATATTTCAATAGAAAGAAAGAGGAAGATACTAAAATAAATTATTTAGAATTAGCAAAAAAAGAAAAAGAACTACTATATACTAAATTAATAAATGGATATTCAATTGTTAATAATAAGAGTACATTTGATTTTTTTGGTGTATTTTATGATAGTGAAGATTATAATAATAAAAATAAAATTTTTTTAGAAATTGAAAAAATTCTAAATCTAGAACCCTTTAAAAGTAATCAAGGAGATATATTACAAGACATTGATTCTATTTTAAAAATAAATAAAATTCCTTCTACTATTCGAAATTTTCTTATAAAATATAGAAGTTTTGGTAAAAAAATATATAATATGAAAAAAAATGAAAGCTATAAAAAAAAAGAGGAGAATCTAACAAATAAAGAAGTGAATTATTCTGATGATAATGAAATAAATAAACAGAAAGAAACTGAAAATAAAAATGGTGATGTATTAAAAGAAGATGATAAAAAAGAAAATAACGAAAATATAGATGAAAACAAAAAAACTGAAGAAAATAAAAAAGATGATGCAATAGAAAGTAGCACAAAAATAATTAATGAAGAAGAAAAGGAAGAAGAAAATTTGTATAAACAATTTCATAAGGATGTTAATAAAGTTATTATGACTATGCACAATAATTTAAATGATGAAAAACTAATAAAAAAGGATTGCTTTTACATGGATGAATTTTATGAAGCATATAAAAAACATTTAAAGAATATGCATATTAAAAGAAATAAATTAGAACCACAAAAAAATAATTATGACTTTTTAACATTTATGCATGAACACTTTGAAGATTATTTTTTTTCAAAATATGGAAATTTTGATTATGATTTTAATGACAAAATAAAAAAAATAAAGAAAAAAATTCATGATGAACAAAATTTTGACAAGTTACAAGATATGGAAATATTAAATGAAAATGAATGTTTTCAAAATAAAGAAAATATTAATAATAGTAATAATGATAATGTTTTAAAAGAGAAGAGTGAAATAAATGAGCATTTAAACACTAATAATAGTAGTAATAGTAATGAAAAAAATATGTTTAATAAGAAAAATAATTATAAAGGTGAGAATATTTTTAAAGAATTAAAAGAAAATAAAAAACTAAAAAAATACATACTAATAGATATGATAAAAAATTACCATGAAAAAATATATGATATATATAAGCCAAATGATTTAATAACAAATGCATATGGTTTTAATAATTATATAGATATTGAAAAACATGATAGAGAAATAGATTTAACATTTAATAAACATAGTATATTAAATTATGATAGTAAAGATGTATTAAATAATGATGAAAAATTATATGTAGGAAAATTAATATTTGGTAAAATATTTCAGGTAGAAAAAAATGTTGCATATGTTGACATCAATTATGCTTTTTATGCTGAAATACACATAGATCAAATGCCTTATAATATCGATAATATTAAACATGTTTTTAATGTTAATGATAAATTGATATTTGAAATTTATAAAATGTATACTAATAAAATATTATTAACATTAAAAAATATACAAAAAATTAATGATCTCAATAAGATATTATTGTATAAAACTGAGGATATTCCATTTGACGTCCATGTGAACTCTATTTTAAAAAATGGCATAAGTGTATCTTATAATGATATACATACATTTATTCATACTTCTGCTTTATCAAGCAAATACAAAGTTAAAACAGAAAATGAAGAGAAAATATTAGATACCTTAATTAACCAAAAAATAAAAGTTTTTTGTACAGATATTAATAAGTTAAGTTTTTCCAATATAATATATGAACAAAATGAGCAATTGAAAAATATTAATATTTATGATGTAATTGAAGCAGATATTATACATATTTCAAAGTATGGAATAATGGTTAAATTTTGTGATATAGTTGGTTTAATTCATGTATCAGAAATATCCAAAAAAAGGATACCTAATTTAAATAACTTATTTAAAATTAATGATAAAATAAAAGGAGTTATAATAAATATAGATTATGATAACAAAAGATTTTCGTTATCTACAAAAATATTGGAAAGTGAAGGGAAAAATATTATTGATAACAAAATAGAGATATATGAAGATATTATCAATATCGTAAACAACATTAAGAAAAGAAATTCTAATTTAAAGATTAATGATTCAAATATTAAGAATCAACTGCTATCCTTGATTGATATATATGAAAATGATAATGATTCGAAGAAATCAAAGCAAGATAATAATATGATACATGAAGAAATAAATAAAAGTAACCAAAATGATAAAACTGAAGAAATAAATCAAAATAATAAACTAAATGAAAATGATATAACAGAAGATATTAATGATTGTAATAAATTGCAAGATGATAATGATAAAAAATTGAATAATGAAAACATGGGAAACGAATCTGACTGTAGCATTAGTGAAACAGACGAAGCGAAAAAAGAGCTTTTTATTGATGTACATAATCAAATGATTCCATATTTAATGATAAAACTTGAAGAAAACAGTAAAATAGGAGATGTAGAAAAAAAAAAGTAAGCATATATATATATATATATATATATATATGTATATATATATTTATATATAATTTATTTTTTTTAATTTTTAGAGAAATAATTTGGGACTTGGAAGATGAAAATTTTTTGAATTCAAATTCACCTAGTCAAAGTTCACAGTGTAAACATAAAAAAAAAAAATACTTTTATATATATCATATTTTATTATTTCATTATTTCATTATTTAATTATTTCATTATTTCATTATTTTTTATTTATTTTTTTTTTTTAAAGTCTTTGAATATCAGTGGTCATATCTAAAAGAAAAAAAATGGATAAATTTTGCTTACTATATTAATAAAATAATGAATTATTATTTTAATATTAATGATGATTTTTTTACTTACAAAGAAAAAAAGTAAATGAAAACAAAAACAAAAAAAAAAAAAATTCTTTTTATACATATATTGTAAAATTTAATCTCTTTATTTTCTTTTTTTTTTTTTTTTTAGCATAGAATATGAAATAGATTTTGTAAAAAATATCAGAATTGATTTAAGTACCGGATTGTACACAAGAATTAGAAAAACTGTTGTGAAATAAAACCCAAATTTTTTAGAATATAACAAAAAAAAAAAAAAAAAAAATTAATATAAAATAAAATAAAATTAATAAATGTTAAATGTTATTGAAATAATTTATTTTTTGAAAATATCTTTTAAATATATTTATCTTACACATTTTCTTTAAATTAATATTCTATTTCTTCATCTAAATCAGAATCCTCATATTCATTTTCATCAGTGTAATTTTCTTCATCATTAAAGTGAATATCAGGCTGAATAAAAAAAAAAATTTAACTGTTATATTGATTTTAACAAAAAAAAAAAAAAATTTTATTATATATATATATATATATAGATTTTTTTTTCATTAATTTTTTTTTTTGTTGTGAAAAATTTTTTATTAAAAAATTTTCTTTAAATTTTTTTTAATAATCATTAATAAACGTTTTAAATAATTATTTTTTCCTTACTATTTTAGGGTATGCATAAAAATTACTGGTTGTGGATATTTTCCATTTTTTTTTTAACCTCTCTAATTTTGTAAACACTTTTTTAGTCATTCGCATATTCTCAAAAAATAAAATAAAAGATGAAGTATTTAAATTATTTTGTTCACTTAATGAATTGTTATTATTGGTTGTTGTTGTAAATTCATCAACATTAATAGATATGTGATTGTGGTTTATTTCACTTAATTCATATTTATTACTATCTTTTTCATTTTTTTCATCACTATTATATTCTATTATTTTTTCATCACTTTCTTTATTATTATAATTAATTTTAATAATTTTACAAGGAAATATTTTAAGGGTAATTAAAAAGTTTTCAAATTCTTTTAATGATATATCTTTATGCCATCCACAAGTGAATATTTTGTATTTTGAAAAAATAGTTAAGTAGTCTAATTTTTCTGAACTAATAAACAAATTATTTTTTGATGCATATAAAAATGATGTTCCATAAAATTCTTTTAGGTGATATTTTTTGGCAACAGGATATTCCTGCATTTTATTTATTAAAATATTTGCGTCATTTATATGATCACATAACACATAAGCACAATCACTTTGACTTCCATTTTTTTTAAATCTAAATATAATATTTTTTAATTTTACTTTAATATTGGCACACTCATATATAATTTCTGATAATTCTTTTCTTCCATAACAATTAGGTATATTTATTATAGTAACTATTTTATCTAAATTTTCAAATTTTGATATTCTTTTAATATCTTCCGTAAATCTAAAGAACCTTTCACATTCTTCAACAAATTTTTCAATTTCATAATCATCGCATAGATGAATTTTACAATTCATAAATAAATTTTTTAAATTGGAATGATATTTTTTATTTATAATTATGTCATTACTTATATTATTATTTGCTTTATTGTATACTTCTTTCTCTTCTTCATTTTCATTAAATAATAATTTTACATCATTTTCATTATTTTTAATGATATTATTATTGTTTTCACTATTATAATTTTCTATTTTACTATCATTATTCCCATTATCTTCATTATTCTGAATATTATCAAAATCAAAATTGAAATTTTGCTTTTTCATATTATCAACTAAAATCATTATTCTTCCTGTTGGTCTAGATAATATATTTGTCATAATATGCACATCATCTTTTTTTATATTTAATCCTTTCAATTCAAAATATTTTAAAATCAAATCAATTTTACAGTTTTCTCTTTTTACATTTTCAAATAAAATTGCCTTTTTTCTCAATAAATTTGATATATTAATATCACTACTGAAATATAACTTTTTAATACGATTTATCATCGTTATTTCATTATAATAAAATGTCAAAATTTTGTTAAAAAGAAAAAAGTTATTTTTTTGTAGAGTCACCAAAAATTTATTCATATAAAATATTTCAAATGAGGTTATGCCATAATATATATACTTAATTTTTCATTTAAATAAAAAAAAAAAAAAAAAAAAAAAACTAAAAATAATATAAATTAAATAACAGAAAAATTATTATTTAATTTTAAAAAGTATATTAAAATTGGGAAAAATTTTAATGTTTACTGAAAAAATGTTTTTCATTTCTGACATTTTTATTTATTTAAAAAATACATGTATAAATAAAAATAACCATATAAAAATCATATCACACATTTTTATAGGAAAGGAGAAATACTATTCTTTAAATAAAAATTATTGATTATAATTCAATAGTGATGATATCAACAATAATTTAGTGAATTATATATTAGAGCTTATGTTAATTTATATTGATACTAAACATTTTATTTTACAAAAAATTGTATTAAAAAGATAAGTAGAACAATATTCTACATACTTATGCTATAAGAATTGAACCTTAAAAAAATATATTTCCTTTTTTTTTTTTTCTTTTTTTTTTTGTTTTCTTATATGAATTTAAAAAAATTCAGTTGGCTTAATACATTTAAACATATGAATATTTTTAAAAACAATTATATCAGTGCGTATTGGTAGGTATAACATAAATTTCAAAAGTGAATAAACAATTAGGAAAAATTAAAGGAAAATGAAAAATGCATGCAGTTGTTTAGTAAAAATAATTAAAAATATATAAAGTCATTGTATCTTTTTATTTGTTTTTCTTTTTTATTTTTATCATTATAATTAATTAAAGTAAAAATAGCAAATTTCTCAAAAGAATTAAATCCGTACAAAAAATACAATTATGTAAGTACTATATATTTTTTTAATTTTTTGATAGAAGTTAGTGTGCACAGATTTATATTTTTTATAAAGTCATTATGCTGTTTCTTTTTTTTTTTAATAATTTCTAATTAATAAAAAAATTTTTAAATCTTAAAAGAAATTAATAAATATAATAAAAGCTTAAAAAATATACATATATATAAAAAAAAAAAAAAAAAAAAAAATTAGGTAAAAAGAAAACTATAAAAAATATAATATATAAAATATTTAACAGAATAAAAAAGAAAAAAAAGGAAAATAAAATGAAGAAAAATATGTTTTAATTAAAAAATTAAAAATAGTATGATAAAAAGTTATACAATATAAGAATTATAAGGGTAAAACAAAAAATACACATAAAAAAAAAAAAGTTAAAAAATATAGAAAAAAAAATGATAATATAAAACTGTTAAATTGGAAAATTATTATAATAGAAATTAATATTTCATAATAATTGTTTTATGTTTAAATTAAGAAGTATTTCAATAAAAATGCTAACTCAACAAAAAACAAAAAGATAAAAAATATTATTATATTTTTACTAATATAGATAGGTAATTTTAAAAAAAAAATATTATAATAAAAATTAAAAGCTATTTTGTTATAATTATATTAAAAAAAAAAAAGATAAAATCTTTTATTAAATAAAAAATATATAAAACTCTTGAAGGATAACTTTAAATTAACAAGAACTAAGAATAATTGTCTCTAAGAGGAAATAAGAATCTATTTTTTTAAAATATTTGCATAAAAAGGGTACTATCTTTTCATTCAATATATATATAAGGTTTAATTGTAGATAAATATCTTTACACAACAAAAAAAAAAAAAAAAAATCACTATATTTTTTTTTTGTAGTTAAAATGTTAAACATATTTAGAGAATTAAACGATTATAGTAATTTTTTGCCAAAAAAAATAAAGGAAAATGTGAATAAAGAAAAATATGAGTTATTGAGTGAAATTAAAAGAAGGGTACTCCTTAAAAAAAATAATTCATATAATGTTACAACAGTAATTAAGTTATTTAATTCTTATGAGACAATTAATACAAGAAAGCATAAATCATTTTACTATTACATTTTTATGATTAGATATTTATGGAAATCCTTACAAAATAAGAATCTTAGTCCAAACCTAAAATCATATATTTGCCAATCACTTTCTAATATTTTGAAGAACATCAAAAAATATATTTTAGATGACTTTTTTTTTGAACATGATAGAAATCTGATTATGAAAGATAAGGAAATTGTAAATTACGATGAAGTTGAAAGTGATTTTACAAATAATTCTTATGCAGATATTAGTGATCACTATTATTTAGAATATAAAAAAGTTGATGAGGATAGTGAAGTAGAAAGTATTATTAACGAAAACAGTGTGCAAAATTTAAATGATTTTTACCTTTCCTTTAATGGTATATTTGAAAAAAATGAAGAATATGGTTCATTTTTTAATGAGGAAATTATAATTAATGGTAAGGATGAAAGTTTTCGGTTATATATTCAAAAGTGCATTTTAAATATTATAGATTATGAATATATATTTAATTTAGTTTATGACTATTTGAGCAACAATACTACTAAAAATGACGAATATAGTCATAATTCATATAAAAATTACATTAATTCCTTATTAAATGTTTTAATTAGTTTAAAATCATTTTGTTATTATAATATTGATGTACATAATTTACTAGTTGATTTTTCTTTAAATAATATCCATTCTATAAAATATGAAGAATATGTTGATAAAAAAGGAGAATGCTTTTATGAGAATAATTATTTTGACAAGGATTCTATTATATTCGTAATAAATGATAAACTAAATGAAAAAGTTAATAAAAGTATAGGGAACAATGATGATGTAAATAATAATGATATAAATACAACTTTAAAAAAAAATGAAAAAATAAATTCTAATATAGATAAATCAGTATGTATAATAGATAATCTAGAATTATGTACAAGATATAATACTATATTTTTAAATTTTGTTCTATTATGTCAATTAGGTTCGGATGATTTATGTTTTAAATTAATTAAATATAATAAACTACTTTATTTATATAACAAGATAAAGAAATTTAATTGGCATTGTATAAATTATTCTTTTGTTAAAATAATATATAAAGGATTAAAATATGCATATGTATATAATATTAGTTTAAAAAAAGAAATAAATGAAATGCTAAATATAATTTTTTTTTTATTCATGTATTATATAAAATTACCTAATAATGTTCAACTAAATTCCTCAAAGTATTTTATACCAGATGAATACAACTTACTAATTAATGATAATGAAAGTGTCATAAAAGTAATTTCTAAAATATTCGTTTTTTTATTAAATAAAAATTACAGAAATAATGAAGAAAATATATCAAATAAAGAAAAAGATCAAAAGTTGTTAGATAAATTTCTCTCTTATATAGATGAAAAAAATTTTAATTTAAATGATTTTGATGAAAATAAAAATTTGTTTTCAATATTTGAAAACGTTGATACTTATGGTTACATAAATATTATAACTTCTTTATTTATACCTCATATACATCCATGTAATATAGGAAAACACATAGGAAATATCAACTTATTCATAAATTCTTTCTTATATTGTTTTATTAGAAAAATGAAAAGAGAAGAAATATTTTTAAAAAAAAAAGAAGTAAAAACTAGTGAAAAACTCAATGATCATAAAATAGATAATGATATTGATAATTATATAAATAATTATTTTATAACAGAGGGAGACAAAAAATTTATTGTTGAAAAGTTTACTACATTAGTGTTACAGGGGATGTTTCCTAAGAATAATAAAGGAATAAGCTTATTTGAAAATATTTTAAAACATATTTGTATTATTGATATAAATTGCTTAGATATTTTTGTTAAAAAAATAATGGATTGCTTATGTAATGTTAATATATCAACACAAATCTGTAATTGCTTATTATCCTTATGTCTATTGTTACCATTATTAGTTAAATATAAGTCTACCTATTTAAAAGATATATTATATGTTATGAATGTTGGTATTGATATATGTGATGTATATAAAAGTTTTACTATTTTTTCCTTTTTGAGTATTTTATTTTCATATATATCAATTGTAAAAATAGACAATATTGATTATTCCTTAGCCGTAAATGAATATAAGAAATTTATACATTTTGAGAATATTCAAAAAGAATTAAATGATGAAGAAGTTAAAAATATAATAGTACAGAGAAAGGAATTGATTGATTATTTATGTCAATGGGTTTATGAATTTTTTGATAAAATTTTATATTTCATAAAATTCTCAAAAAGTGAAAAAAATAAAGATAATAAAAAACAAAATGGAGAGATTAAAGATAGTAAAATAGAAAATGATTTATATACAGGATTAAAAACTACTATTATTTCGTTGTTTATTCATCTAGATCATCAAATTATATATGAATTGTGTCAAAGATTTTTAAATAATATAGAATTAGAAAATTCAAAATTTTTGTCTATTATTCCTTATGCTATTGGTTTAGTAAATAATAAAAAAATTTTTGATATGCTTTTTAATACATTTTATAAAAAGTTAGTTACAAAAAGGAAAAAAAAAAAAAAGTCGGACAATGAATGCAATGATGAAAAGGAAACAGAACAAGAGGTGGAAAGTTATGTTTATACAAAAAATGAATATGCAAATGATGATACTATAAAATGTTATTTACTGTTTTTATCAAATCTAATTCGAAGAGCAAAAAATGAATTTTTGAATTTAGAAGATATATATAATTTAATTGAAATATATATAGTTGAAGATAATAATACTATATTCAAATATATATGTAAAATTATATATAGATTTTTAGAATATAATTTTAGTTTAACAATTAAAGATTATTCTTGTTTTAAGATAGATGAAAATATGACATATACAGACAAGATACTTACGTTTGCATATTGGGGTATTCCATGGCATATATTAAGTAATCAAAATAAATTAAATGAAAATAATCTTTTAAAAATGGATAAAAATGAAAAGATAAATACAAATGATGAAAATTATTTTAGTAACATCGACGAATTAATAAAATGGAAGTCTCCATCCTTAGAAGATATAAAAGTAGGAAAAAATTTTATTTTTTTACTTTTAGATTATTTAATAGATTTATTAATGCAATGTGAGATACCAATTTGCACACCTAATTTAATAAAATATATTAAAAAAAGAAATATAAAAGAAACAAGAATTAAATGGAAATTTACTTTAAATTATTCTAATATAATATCAAGATTTTATAAAGTAATAAAAGTTATTATTAAACCATTAAGTTTATTATATCCTGATGAAAGATATAATTATAATAACTTATTAGCAAAATGCCATGTTATTAATACAAAACTATCCTTTTATTTATACGTATATATATCAGAAATTATTATAACTTTATCATTACATGTTTTAAAAATTCCAAAGCAAATTATAGATATATCTCCATATATAGAATATAACAGTAACGATGAGAAACTAGAAAATAAATCATCTTTTAGTTCTCTAAATAGTGAAAATAGCATAAATGAAATAAATAGAAATAGTTATGATAAGCAAGAAATAAAAAAAATGAAAGAAGATTTTTTCAATAATGTTATAAATAATAGGGAAAAAGATATAAAAGCAGATGCTAAAATACAAAGGAAAATAATTAAGAATATACATTTATTACTACTTAAATGTAATGAAAATTCTAACTCTAGTTTATATAATGAATACATTAATAATGTTTTATCATTTACTTATAATATGTATCCAAATAGCTACAATTTTGATATTATAAAAAATCAATACATTAATAACATTTTCTTTTTATTTAATGAAAGATTAAAACAAAGAAAAAAAAATTATTGTTTTCAAGGTTATCGTAAACAGCTATGTAATATTTTATTTTTTATTAATTTGTCTATTTATTCTCAAGTTAGATCTTATGCACAAACTACTATTAAATTAATTTTACCATCTTTTAAAATAATTAAAGTTCCTTTTTTGAAAATATGTTCCTTTTATTTAAAAAATTATATAAAGTTATATATTTTAACACAAAAAGATAAAAAAGAAAATAAAGAATCATTAAAAGAAAATAATGATAATATAGAAATTGATGATAATGATAATGTGAGGAAATTATCTACTTTGAAGAGTTTTAGCGATTTAAATGCAAATGATTATTTCGAAAATAAATGTATAAGTTGTTTTAACGGTGTTATTTTAAATATAACAAATAGTATGGGATTAATAAAGAAAATTATAACAGATATACATTTATTAAAAAAGTTTATTAAAATAATCATCAACATTTTAAGATTAGATATACAAAAAGAAGAAATAACTCTTAAATGTATGAAACTAGTGTATGCCTTAATTAATAATAGATTTTTTAAAAATTCAGTAGATGAAAAAAAAAAAAAAAAAAAAATTAATTACTTATTTTTATTTCTAAAAGAAGAAAGTGAAAAAAAAAATAATGTATATGTGCAAATAGTAATTTTGTCCTTTTTAATTTGTTTTAATAACTTTGTTATAGAAAACAATTCTGAATTTTATTTTAATTATTTAATTGAAAATTTGTCAATTAAGAAAAACGTTCATGTTTATAATTTAGCATTTTATGGTTTTATAAAATTGTTAAAATATTATAATAATTTAAAATTGAATATACCAATTCATATATTAAAATATTTTGAAAAAGGAACAATTTATCAGAATTTTATTGAAATATGCATATATAAAAATTTAAAAAGTAAAAAAAAAAATAACAGTATAAATGCTATAATAATAAATTTGTCAAAAGTTCAGAAATCATTTAAAGGTTTTACTCAAATTAGCGAAGTACATCTAAAAGATTTTTATTGTTATTACATATTTTTTAAATTTTTAGTTAATTTACAAAATAATTACATAAAGGAAAATACACCTATAGAAAATGAAAAATGTGAAAAAGATATAAATATAAATCAAATAGACAGCATTGATCACTTCAGTAGTGATACAAATATAAATGATATTAGTATAAGTAATTACAAATATAAATATGTTGGAATAATATTATTTATACTAAATAAATTACAAAAGGATGAGCATTCAGACAATGAATTTAAATCTACCTTTATAGCAGTAATATGTCCATTACTGTTATCATTAAGAAAATTAAAAAATAAGGAAGAAATAAATAAAATTTTAAATGATATTATAGAATTATTAGAAAAGGAAATAGCTATTGTAAATAGCGAAGTATTTAGCATATGGATATATTATTTTCATTTATTGTTTATTAATATAAAAAAAAAATATATTCATATATATAATAAATTAATTGAATTCTGTTTATGTTGTAATTTTCATGACGTTTCTAATTTAATCTTTAAAAAAAAAATGCAATTATTAAATATTATACTTCTTTATAGTATGCATAAAGATATGCATCTATTAGATAACAATTTAAAAGATTTTTTAAAATTAATAGATAATGACAATATAACAGTAAGACAAAGAATAGGAGATATTTTATGTAACATTTTATATGTATCTTATGATCATAAACATTATGATCACTTAAAATATATTTATTATAATGTATTATTTTATTTATATAATATATCTAAAGGTGTTATTGAATATTTAGTAAATAATGAAAATTTATCAAAACAATCTAAATATATATATGCTCTTGAAACATTAATATATTTAACAATTACTATGTATACAAACAAATGTATATATGTTTTGAGTAATTTGGGAATTATTTTCTTAAAAATGTTTATATTATCCGTGAAATTAATTGACAATTATATAAATGAATTGATAAATAAATCTATTAAGTGCTTTTTATGTCCATCTTTATATTTATTTAAGTTATCAAATATAAATTATGAGAGTATAAAAGATCATGGTGTTAAATTATTTGCAGATCAAGATTTATGTAATTTGGATTTATTATTAAAAGATGAAATAGGAAATTTACTTATAAGGGAATTGAGTAGTTTACTTAATAATTCTAATTGGAAAGTTAGAAATTCTACCTTACAATTCTGTTATTTATTTCATTCATATTACTGTTTGTTTATTTATAGTAAAAAAGAGCATTCTTTTATGTTGAATATATTTATATCATTACTAGTAGATAATTATGTTGAAATTCAAAATTTATCCCGTGATATTTTAGCTTCCGTATTTTTTTATTATGATAGTATAGTTCTTCAGAAATTTTCTAATTTTTTTTTAACCATAATAAATCAAAAGAACATTTTAATGGATACTTCACAAAACAATACTACTAAAATCATAGAAAAAAGGAAAACAGTGGCCATTTTTGCTTTAATTAGTATAGTTAATTCTTTTCCTAATTATATTCCTCTTTGGCTCCCTAATATTTTAGTAAGTGTAGCTAAAGTATCTAATAATACAGTTCACAGTATAAAAAAAGAAATAGAAAAATGTATTCAAAATTTTTTAAGAACTCATAAAGATGAATGGGAATACAAATATAAACTTATTTTTACAGAAGATCAATTGAACATTTTAGATATGTATAAAGGTGGCTTAAATTACTTTACATAATATTAGTATTTAATAAAATGTTAAAAAAAATGTAAACAATAATACAAAAAAAAAAAAAAAAAAATAAAAAAAAAAAAAAAAAAAAAAAAAAAAAAAAAAAAAAAAAAAAAAAAAAAAAAAAAAAAAAAAAAAAAAAAAAAAAAAAAAAAAAAAAAGACTTTTTTTTAAAGCTTAAAAAAATAAAGTTTTACATTGAAAAAAAAAAAAAAAAAAAAAAAAAAAATAAAAAAAAAAAAAAAAAAAAAAAAAAAAAAAAAAAAAAAAAAAAAAAAAAAAAAAAAAAAAAAAAAAAAAAAAAATAAAAAAAAAAATAAAATAAAATAAATAAATGAATAAATAAATAACAAAAAAAAAAAAAAAAATGAAATAATAAAAAAAAAAATATAAATATAAAAATAGAAAGAATTATATGTATATATATTGATGTTAAATAATTTTTTAATTTTAAAAATTTATTTATATATACTTACCTTTAAATTAAATTACGTTTAGTTATATAATAACAATAATAAAAAAAAAGAATTTTCATTTGTTATTTAAATTACAGTGATATTGAATTTCTTTGAAAATATTTATACTAAAATAAGAAATATAAATATATATAAATTAATAACACATTTTAATATATTAGATATATAAATTTTTTAAAAATGTTATATATATTTAACGTACTAATTATAATTTGAGAATTTTGATATATTAATAGGAAGTTTATTAAGTTTATAAAAATTTTTAATTGCATTAAGTCTATCATTTATGCTCTGATTATACTTATCACTTTTTGTACAAATAACTCTAAAAGGTATATTAGTTTTTCTATAAAAAAATATAAATATATATATATATTATTTTATTTTTTTTTTTTGAAATGATATATATATAAATATTACTAACACAAATTTACAAAATTTTTTGTTTATGAATTACTTTATAGTTTTTACTAATGATATATCAATTTTTTGTATATCAACACTCATATCAATTAAAATTAAAAATAGGCAAATTTGATTTCTCAAAAAAATATAATCATCTAAGTTATTTCTTAAAATTTCCATTTTTCTTTTTCCTATTCCTTCAGCATAACCTAAACCAGGCATATCAGTTAAAATAAATAACTTCTTTTTTTTCATATTCTCAAATGCATATAAATTTATTGATCTTGTACAACCACTATTTTTTGATACTTTAATAAATTTATTTTCATTTGTATTAATTAAATATTTTATAAAATTTCTTAGAAAAGTCGATTTTCCTACATTGCTCCTACCTAATATGCATATTTCATTAACTCCATAATTTTCTATTTTTTCATAATTATGAAATTTACCTTTAAAAAAAAAATATATATATATATATATATTATAATATTAATAGAGAAATAATGATATTAAAGGACTTAATAAAAAAATCAAGATAGGTGTCGTTGTTTTTTTTTCTTTTTTCTATATTTTATATGTATATAATTATATTAGTTATATAAGTTTTTTTTTTTTTTTTATATATAGTGTCTTTATGAGTTCAAGACTTCAATTTATTAATATAAAAAAAATTTTTTTTTTTTTTTAGATTAAACTGTTTTATGATATTTATTAATTATGCTTTATATTTATACATATATATTTTCTGAATTTATTCTTTTGATTTTTAATTTAACAAAAATATATATTAAAAATATGAAAGACACAAGTATTTCAAAAAAAAAAAAAAAAAAAACAATTTCTAATAAATATATAAATAAGATTATATAAAAAATATATGTACCATAAATAATAAAAAAAAAAAAAAAAAAAAAACATGTAAAACATATAAAATCCATAAATTATATATATATATATATATATATATACTATTGATTTATGAATGTCTTGTTTTTTTTATATTTAACCTAAAAAAGAAACATGCTTAATATCTGATAGGGTAAATTTTTTATTTACCACTAGAAGATTTTTTAAATTAGTCTTAATTTTATTAAAACTTATATTTTTAAAGAGTTTATATTCTAAGTCTTCTTTTTTATTTGTATCTAAAGGAAAAAGAAAATGTAAAAGTGAATTATAAAATATCATTTCTTTATTTTTAAGTTTATAAAAAATTACCTGCATATAGTACAATTTTTTGGTATTTCATAACACTGTTAGTTGTTTTGGGAATAAAACATTTGATAAACATAAGATTAAAACAAAACGTTAAAAAATACTTGAAGCATATAATTCTCTTATTTCGCATTTAGGTATCATAATTTAATTTTAAAATAAAAAAAATATAAAAGAAAATAAAAAAAACATAATTTTAACAAAGTTTAACCTAAAAATTAAAAAATTCATATAAATATTTAAGATTAACTTTAAAAATTTTTTTTTTTTTTTTTTTTTTTTTTTTTTGCATATATGCATTAAAGAATAATTATCATATAAAAATATAAAAGAAAATTTTACTTTAAAAAAAAGAATCACTTATATAACATTTCATATACATACTATTATATTTTTTTTCATAAAAATAAATAAAAGAATATATATAGTATAAAATGAAAAATATATATATATATATACATAAAAGAAACTAAAGAAAATCTCTTTTTATATATAATATAGGACGTATTTGATTTATAATATTTATAATTTTTTTTTCATACTTTAAATTTTAATTTTTTGTTTTGACGAAGGATTTCAACATCTATGAATCGATCACTTGTACTATTTAGAATTTCATGAACCTAGAAAAATATAATTATTGAAATTTAAAAAAAATTAATAAAAATTATAATATATATATATATATATTGAAATAAATATAGATATATGAACGTTATTATATTAAAAAATATAAAAAATATGGAATTATTATTTTTTTTTTAATTTTTGATAACCTCACAAATATTCTTTATATTTTTGTTGTTAATACTGAAGAGGACATCTTCTCTTTTTAAACCTGAGATTTCTGCAGGTGAGTTACTCAAAATATCATATATTTTTAATTCTTAAAAAAAAAAAAAAAAAATTCCAATGTCAAAAACTTGAATCAAATTTTAACAATAATGAATAAAATAAAAGGCATAATATATTTAATATAATAAACATATTATTACACAAATATAAGAAAAAATTAAACTTGCCTTTTTTGGAACTTGAGGAATTTCTTATATTAAATTCTTTTTCTTTTAATATAATTCCTAATATTTAATCAATAATAAAATTTTTATTAATTTTAAAATCAATTTAAAGAGTTTTGACTATTTAAATATGTACCTAAAAAGGGTTCTTTATATGTTCCTTTATATTGCAAATATTCTGCTATATTTTTTAGAATATTTATTGGTAGTGCTAATCTAATTAAAAAGGATAAACACAGTAAAATAAATTACGATATTTTTTTTTTTTTACATTTTTTCTTGTTATCACCTTCTGTTAATTATCGTTCTTTTTTTTTTTTTTTTTTTTTTTTATTTTTAACATACCCATAATTATCTATCTTTTTTTGAATCATTCCTACCAGATTTCCATTTTGATCAATTAATGGTGAACCTGACATACCTTGAAGATTAATATTTAAAAAGTTTTAAAATATGGGAAATTACTTGTAATATTAAGTGAATTCTATTAAGAAAATATGAATTTTTTTATAATAATAACCATTATTGATAGGATTGCTTATTTGTATAAAAGGATATAAGCATGGTTGCTCTTTTTCACTAAAGTTAGTAAATTTCGAAAATGTTTGTTTAGGTTGATTAACTATACCAATACTACATGTTTCTCTATCAAAATTCTGAAATTATATTTGTAAAAATGAAAATTATTTTAATATTAAAAAAAAAAAAAAAAAAAGAAAAAAAAAATACCTGTATTTGGCCAAATGTAATTACAAGTTCTCCATGTTTTAAAGTTTCCCTTTTAGTATCTAGATTAATATTTAAAAATATTCATTAATAAAAAATAAATATTATTATTATTATTGTAATAAAACATATATATTTATTACCTAACGATATATGAGGAAATTTTTTCTTTGAAACTATTTTCATAACGCAAACATCTGATTCTAAAATATGCATGTGAATAAACAATGTTATTTTTATATAAGATCAAATTTTTTTCATTGTTTTTTTTTTTTTTATAAAAGTTTACCATTATGTAGTCCGGATACTTCAGCTAAATAAAAATCATCGCAATTTTTTATAATAAATGTACCTTCTTCTAAATGCTTTGAGAATTTTATTTGAAAATTTTAGATAAAATAAAAATTATTTTTTTATTCTATTCTTTTTTTTTTTTTTTTTTTGCTTTTGTTCTTACTGTTACATTATGTGCAGCTGTTAATACATATCCTTCAATTATTATAAAAAAAAGTTAAAAATTATATAGAAAACATAAATATTTAATTATAATTCATATACACATTAACTATTTATTTTACTACATTTCATTGAAAAAATATTTAATTTGATCAATTTATGTTTCTTTTATTTAATTTGGTTTTTTTTTTTTTTTTTTCTTTTTTTGTTCTAATTCTTTTACCCCTTTTATCGTAAATAAATCCTGAACCTAGAAATGTTAAATCGTCAATTTTAAAATTAAAGTCAAAAGAATTATTTCTTTTAGGAATTTTATAAATAGTAACAAAGCTATTAAATAAATGATTTGGAATAGAAAAATAGTAATTTAACTGTTTATTTTTGTATATAATTTTTTTTCTTAATATATATAGTACAAGATTGAAGCAGTTGTAAAAAAATAAATAAAAATGAACTAATGTAAAGATAAGAAATCTTAGGGAACATTTAAAATAATAAAGAAGAATTTTAATTGCTAAATATTCATACTCAAGTAATTTAAAAAAATTATTTTTCTTATTTTCTTTCAATGTTGTATTTTTATCTAATGTGTCATTATCTGAAAGGATACAATTATTATTTTCACAATGTGATAGAGGAATATTTTTTAATGAAAAATTATACAAGCGAAGATAATCCATCTTATTTTTTACACTAATCATAGTATAATTATAACTATTTAAAAAATGATTTATAAAATTTTGCATATAAAATTCTCGAAGAAAGTGGGAATTATTCCATACTATTTTTGTTTTACAATAAATTACCCATAGGTATATTTTTTTCATTTTATAAAAATTGAAAAAAAATTAAAAAATGATTTTAAAATCATAAAAATTGTGGTGTAAAATAATGTTTTAAAAAAGATAAAGTAATTTAACAAAAATGTATGATAATGATTGAAAACTTAAAAAAAAAAAAAAAAAAAAAAGATGACTTGTAGTAACGTAAATAAATTAAAAAAATGTGTTCAACAAATTTATGAAAAAAAATTGAATACACAATGAACTTAAGATATATTTCATTAGATTTTCATATTATTTATTTTTTTTATTATTTTTTTCTTTTTTTTTTTTTTGCTTAATAAACAGTATTATAATAATTACTTTATATAAAAATATTATTTTTTTTACATATAAAATATTCATAATTTTAATTATTCTATTATAAATTATGTAAATATTTTTATAGATTTAAAATATAATATAAATTATGTTAAAAACATTTTTTTTTTTTTTTACTATATTTTTGGAAATGTAAGTTTTAATTAATATATATTCAAGTATTTTTCTTATTTTCATTTTTAAAATTATAAAAATCTACAAATAATTGGTATATAAATTTTTACTTAATAGAAGATTTGATGAACTCTATAACTAAATTTTTTAATAAGCAAAATAAATAAAATAAAATAAAATAAAATAAAATAATGTAAATGACATATGTTTTATAAATATATGAACTTAGATAAATACAAGATAAGTATTTTTTTTTTTTTTTTTATTACATGTTATAATGTATTTAAGTTGCTATCATAAGTAACGAATGGATCTGCAACTTTTTTGTTACGATTAGTTATTAAGAAGTATATCATAATAGTAAAAATTGTAATTATTATACAGAAGAAAATCATCGATGTATAAGTAAAAATAATTAAAGGTTCAATTTCATCTTCAATTTTACATTCCCCATTGTTACAGGGTACAACAATATGTGCAATGTTGTTCAAATCATACCCATTCATCAATCTATATCCATGACCGCATTTAGATGAACAAGAAGAATTATCAAAAAAATCTTTGCATTTATCATTATTGCATGAATCTCTACAGGGATAATCTAATTGAAGATCAATATTTTTTTCATCGTTCATTTCTATACTTAATCCTTGTAATTGATCATTACCAATGTAATCATGTTCTACACCATTTAACATTTTATTTAAATTTTTTTCTATATCATCTTTCATTTGTTTATTTATTATACCTTTTTTAATATCATCCAAACTTTGACCTACATCACGAAATTCAATAATTATAAGGGCAATATAAATTTGTACATTATTATCTTCATAATACATAGGACAAAAAAATTTAAAATTTTGTGCATTTCCTTTAGGGAATGTGTATTTATATATATCTCCTATTTTCTCAAAATTAAGTGGGCAATTATCATTAAAAAAATAAAGTGGTTTATTTAAGAGTTGCGCTAATATATATAAAGTATAACCTGGATATCCCATAATATAAAATGAATTTTGTCCAACGTTTACATTTGGTGTCAATTTATTAAATAAGTCAAGAATTATATCGGTAGATGATGGTGAATTATAAGTTGGATTTTTGTCAACTGAAATTTCTACTATTCCCCTATGAGTTAATAATTTATTATCATCTCTATTTTCAAAGATGCAATAAAATAATGTAGGTTTTTCTACTTCATTAATTTTTAAAATAGATGTATTATTATCATTATTAAATGTTATTTGTGTTTCAGATAACTCAATTTGATTTTTCTTAAATATGCTATATATAGATTTTCTACTATCTCCTGATGGTTCTAGAGAAATCTCATCAAAGCATTTTGTTATTATATGAAAGTCCTCATATCCTTTCTCATATTTTGGTATAATTATTCCAATAGTATCACCACGACTTAATTTATGATAACAAATTACATCTTCACTTTTATTTATATTAATACCCAAATTATATTTTTCAGATGTGAAATCACATATATAACCAGTATTTTCAACAGAAGAACAAAAAAAAAAATAAAAAAAAAATAAAAAACAAAGTATATACATATTGTTTTAAAATTAAAATACAAAAATAAGATAACATATAATGAAAGAATATTTGTACATAGAAATGTATTTAAACTTTATTAAAGAATACAAAATTAAAAAAATAATGAGATAAATTACATAAAAATGTTTAACATATATATAAAGAGAAAAAATTCTTTCAAAGAGTTAATATATTAAATTATTAAAAAATAAAATTAATACGGACGGAAAAAAAAAAAATAAAATTTAAATTTGTTTTTATTTCATATATATCAATATATATATATATATAATAAATATATTAATTGTTATAAAAATATGATTAATTATGAATAATATTATTAAAATTTTTTTAGTGTGTAAAAAAAAAAAAAAATTGTAATGTTAAATATTTAAATTTGATAAGTCTTATCTTTTTTACATGCAACAATTTATGCAACAATTGTGTAGAATATAGAAAAGTTCTATGTTTAAATTTTTTTTTCAGTCAAAATGCATTTTTTATTTTAAAAAAATGAAGAAAAAGATCAGAATTTTTGTTTTTAATTGATGTTTGAAAATTGTGTAAAAATAAAAAATATAAAATGTCTCAAAAATTACGATATATTATTTTTTAAAAATAAGACAATTTATTATATTAAATATTTTCAAGTTAAAAAATTTGTTTATACTTCATTTTGTCAAGCACTTAAAAAAAAAAAAAAAAAAAAAAAGTTTTTCCTTAAATTAAATAAATAATTTTTCTATATATATAAGATCAAGTTAATAAAATAAAATAATTAAGATTTATTTTAATGAAGGTTTTCTTAAAAATAAGAGAATAACCAAATTATCAGTATAACAAAAAAAAAAATAAAAATTATTTAAAAATATATTATTTCAGGAAAAAAAATTTTGAGTATTTTTTTTTATGCTTGAAAAATATTTGCCGTCTATATCAGCTCATATTGTCAATTATTGTTCACTATTTGTAATATTGATAATAATATGTAAATAATTATAATAAATTTTTTTTTTTTTTTTTTTATTTTTTTGTCTCCAGTTTCTAATATTTTTTATCAAAGTTAAGGATGAAAGTGAAATAAAAAAAAACATAAAATATCATGAATTATTAATAAATATATATCAATGAAAAATATTTTTTTTTCTTGTTAAAATTGTTCTTAATAAATAAGTGTATATTTATTTATGGGTAAAAAACATGTCCTATAAAAATAACAATTTAAAGTTGACAAAAATCTAAAGTTACTATTTGATAGAATAATAAAAAAAAAAATTATGATAAAAATAAAAAAAAAAAGGAAAAAAAATAATCGGCCACTTAATCAAAGTGAATATATATATATAAAGGCTTCATATTATTTAGTCATATTGCTTTTTTTTATAATTACATTTATTACTATATATATATATATATATATATATATATATAGATAGTAAATAATGTTTTATTAAAATTATAAATGTTCCTTTTAGAATTTCAATTATTAAATTATAAATTGTAATGAGATTTTTTGAAATGATATAAAAAAAAAAAAAAATAAATAGTAAAAATGTTAGTACATATATATATGCATATTATTATATTGCTACGAATATGTATATTCAAAAGAATTTAAAAAAAAAAAAAAAAATATATATATATATATATATATAATAATTTACTATTTAACATTTTAAAAGTTTTTTTTTTAATTATTTTTATTATAAATTCATTTTTACAATTTTCATATTGTTTTATATATTAATATACGTACAATTTTAATATATTTATATATGTTAATATTATTATGTAAATAATAGAAATGGTAAATATTATAATTTCTTTTTTTTTCTTTTTAATCAAATGTAAAATCTTTGTTTAAAACAGCATCATCACTGTTTGTGAAGACGTTATTTAAAGGTAATGGAGCATTATTTAATTCATTATTAATAACAAATGGGAAATATTTATATAATATTTTCCAAGCTTTATTGCAAATATTGTCAACTTTTCTATCTTGTAAAGCATCAATTTTATGAACACTATCACATTCTTCAAATAGATGTACATATGGATTAGCTGGTAGATTATCTCTTAATTTTTTATTTTCACCCATTTCTAAAATATTTTCTAAACCTTCTAATGTAACAGAAATAATGTTAGCATCTTCTACATCTAATAAATTAGATAATGAATGTATAGCACCACATTCTACAAGGTATTCTATTTGTGATTCAGATCCACCTGAAGAAGCATTGGAAATAGCCCATGCAGCTTCTTTTCTAACTTCAAAATCTTCTTTCATTAAAATATTAATAAGTTGAGGGATAACATTATTATCAATAACTGCTTGAATTTGAGAAATATTTCCAGCGGTAATATTTGATAATGCCCAACAGGCCTCTTTTTTGATACTTTTTTTTGAAGAATTAAGTAAACATGATAACTTTTGAACTGCACCTAATTTAACAACCACATCAGTTTGTAAATCATCTCCTGTAACAATATTTCCTACTGTTCTTAATGCTGGTGTTTGAACTAAAAACGAACAATGACTAAGCAATTCTACTACTCTTTCTGCTACACCTGCATCTAAAACTGCATTAATATTTTCATTTGACCCATCTGACAAATAAGAAAGAGTCCAACAAGCATCTGTTAATATTTCCTCATCATCATTATAAATTAAGGCAGCTAAAGTTGGTAAAGCCTTTGAGACAATTTCAAATTTTGGTGCAGGTTTTCCTCTACATAAATTTGATAAAGTCCACGCAGCATTTCTTATTAAAGTTCTTTTATGACTAGTTCTTAAAATTTTTAATAATAATGGTAATGAATTTTGATTTAAAACGTATTCTCTACATTCAGCTGAATCTCCTGCAATATTTCCTAATGCCCAAACTGCTTGTTCACATACATCTTCTTTTTCACTATTTAATAATCTTACAAGATGTGGTACTGCATTATTATCAATTACTACTTTTGTTTGCTCTTGAGATCCAGAAGCAATATTTGTTAATACCCATGCTGCTTCAAACTGCAAGTCTGTTTTATCATCATATTTTAAAAATTCTACTATGTATGGGACTACTCCTGAATTTATTACTTCTTGTATTGGTGGTCCCTTTTCAATAGATAATAATTTTCTTAACTCTCTTGTACTATTTAATTGTGTTACATATTCAGATGATCTTACACCTATAGCTAACGTTGGTATTTTTTTTAACATTTCTAATGTATTTGAACTGTTATTAGATGAAGTGTTACATATGGATTCATTAGTTGAATCATCTTGATTAGTTTTTAAATAATTTAAATTAAATGGATTGTCTTCAAAGCCTGTATTAGCCATTATCATGGCTCTTTTACTTTCTAATTGACATTCTCTTTGTTGTTTTCTTATTTGAACTACTAAATCTTCTCTTTTTCTTCTTGTGTCATCACAATTTTTTTTAAACTCTTTTCTTCTTGCTTCAATTCTCCTATCCATTTTTTTCAGTTTATTATTTATTCAGAAGATAAAAAAAAAAAAAATGCATAAGATTAATACCAAATATCAGTGCAATAAAGATATTCAAACATGTAAAAGATAATGAAAAAATATAATATTACTTAATTTAAAAAATTTATATTCATATATACATACTTATATATATGTTCTTTTATTTTTTTAAAAATTTGAATTTATATACAAAGTTCTTTTCTTTTTTTACTTAAAAACATATTTTATTAGAAAAAAGAAAAAATTTCTTCTGAATTTTCGAAACATATATAATTTTTAAAAACACAAATGATTCTTCTATTTTTTTTTATTTATACATTTTTTTTTTTAAATAAAATTTTTACTTTTTTTTTTTTTTTTTTTTTTGTTTATGATGTACATTCCATTTTTTTTTAATAATTTGCTTTTATATTTTATTATAAAAATATAGTTTTTTCATTCAAAAGTAAATTACATAATAAAATAAATTTTATATTTTAAATATTTTTATCTTTTTTTTTTATATATTATATATAAATTTATATATTTTTATTTTAAACTGTGACATATTTTTTAAGATTAAATTTTTTTTTTTTTTTTTTATTTTTAAGTTTATATATATAAATGAAAACTAAACAAATAATCTTGACCAACATGTACAAAAAATTATCTACTTTTAAATAAAATTGTCAAATATACATTTTTTTATATTAAGGAATTTATTTTTTTTTTTTTTTGTTAATTATAATGATAAAAATTCCATATAAAATATGCCATAAGAATTAGATATTTTTTCAATATTGGTTATAAGATGTTCAATATATATTGTCCATTTTTTTTTTTTATGTATCATTAACTTTTATTGTATATATATATATATATATTCCCTTTCAAAAAAAAAATAAATATAACTTTTAATGATTTTAAACATATGAAAAATGTGATAAAAAATATGTTAGAAAATGTAAATAAAAAATTATGCAAATAATAATAAATAGTATCTGTGAGAAAATATTAAATTTCAAATAATTCTCTAATTATTTTTTTCTTTTTTATATAAATTTTTTATATATATTAATTCATATAAAAATTTTTATCGAAGATAAACTTAATTCTTCAATTATTCTTTGTATAATAAGCATATGATGAAATATAAAAAGATCTATAAAATTAAGACATATTTTTAAATGGAAAAAAAAAGTAGAGAAAAGTAACTTCTCTAAAAAAAGAAATATTTAAATGATTTTCTCTACTAATTACAGTTTAATAAAAAAAAAAATTACATATATATATATATATATTTTTTTTTTGAAATAATATTGATGTAAATGAATACTTTGGAATAAATATACTTAGTTTTTATTTTTTTTTGTCTACAGTTTTTATTAGATATCTTTTTATAAAAATAAATTTAATATATAAAAGTAAATAAAAAGAATATTTACCTTTTTTTTATCATTTTTTATCAGTAAAAATAGTGATACAAAATAAAATGAAAAAAAAAAAGGAAAAAAAAAAAAAAAGCTTCTCATTAAAAAAAAAGAAGTAAAATTCTTCAAAATTAAAATTATTCTCTCGGAAAAGTTGTATTAATAACCACTCTTTTTTACCATATATGAAAAATATACTTAGAATTTATTTTTTCTTTTTTTATCCTTAAACAAAATATGCAACAAGCTTCACTTTTCATACTTCAAATATAAATATGAATATGTCTACATAAGCCAGAGAATAAAAAATAATTTCAATATTCATATTATTTCCTTAAAAAAATAATTAAAAAAGTGTTTTAAAAATACAAAAACTGTTCTAATTTATTTATAATTAAAAACAAATTCAAAAAAATATATATATTTAGATAATTTCTAAATAAAGTGTTTATTTTTTTTTATTTACATTATTTTATGTTATTTTAATAAAAACAGAAGTTATTAATGAACTTTTATTACTTCTTTTTTTCTTTATAAAATTAAAAATATATATTATATATGGATTATGGAAATGTTTTTTTTTTCTTAAATATTTCTTTTTTTTTTTTTTTTTGTTTTTCTAATAAAAAGTATTAATAAATTTTAATATAATTTTCATAATTTATTATTTTTTTTTAATCATAATATGAATAAGAATTTAACTATTTTGTTTTCGTTAAGTGAGCATTTTTTTTTTTTTTTTTTTTTTTTTATGAAGGCAAGAGTCTTTAGAATTACAAGTTGAATTATATTCATAATTAGAATTATAATTTACATTCCTCCTATTTTTTTTTTTTTGTTTCATATGGCTACTTTTTATAATATTTATGTTCATTTTTATGTTTATGATATTTATTTTTAACATTATATTCCACAGAATGGTTATTTCTATCAGAACTAACGTTTAAACTATGTCTTTTTCTTTCTTTATTTTTTTCGTTTCTTCTAGAATTATGATAATCATTATTATATTTTTTCATATCTGCATGTTTTCTTTTTTTATTTTTCTTATAATAATGATCTTTGTCTTCATTTATTTTCTCTCTATTATTCAATTTCTTATTATCTTCATTAGATGTTAATTTTTTTTTATATGAACTCAAATATTTATACTCTTCTTTTTCTTCCTTTTTATTTTCTCTATTATGATATTTATTTTCTTTTTTGTCATAATTTTTATCATTTTTACCATAATAATTTTTGGGAATTATTAATGTATCACCATATTTTTTTTCTTTATTTCTGCTATATTCCTTTTCATAGTACTTATCATATGTTTCTATATCGCTACTATATCTTTTTTTACTATTATTTTCATATAATTTTTCTCCACTATGCTTTTCTTTTTCTTTATATTTACGTGATTTATCATCTACATTATGTTTTTTTTCACTTCTGTGTTCATATGATTTATCTTCATGGTATCTTTTTTTTTTCTCCTTCAGCCTATATGATTCATCTTTGTTATATTTAGTTTTTTTGTCTTTACATTTATATGATTCATTTTTATTATATTTTGACCTTTCATCGTGTTTATATGACTCACTTCTGTTATTTTTATTTTTTTCATCTTTATTTTTATATGATTCATTTTTACTGTATTTTGATTTTTTATTGTACTCATATGAATCACTTTTATTATATATTTTTCCTTCTTTATATTCATATGATTCACTTCTGTTATTTTTATATTTTTCATCTTTATATTTATACAGTTCATTTTTATTACATTTTGATTTTTCTTCATGTTCATATGATTCACTTCTATTATTTTTATTTTTTTCATCTTTATATCTATATAATTCATTTTTATTGTATTTTGATTTTTCATTATATTCGTATGATTCACTTTTATTATATATTTTTCCTTCTTTATATTCATATGATTCACTTCTGTTATTTTTATTTTTTCCATCTTTGTATTTATATAGTTCATTTTTATTATATTTTGATTTTACTTTGTGTTCATATGATTCACTTCTGTTATATTTATTTTTTTCACCTTTATATAATTCATTTTTATTGTATTTTGATTTTTCACTGTGTTCGTATGATTTACTTCTACTATATTTTTTTTTATCTTTATGTAATTTTTCTTCATCACTACAAAATTGTTCAGATTGTTTTCCTCTTTCCTTTGAGTAATATTTTTTCTCATCTTTATCAGAATACCTTTCACAACTTTCTTTATATTTTTCTTCTTCATCTCTGTTAGAATAATTTTTTTGTTTTTTGTCATACCAAAATTTTTCTTTATAATATTTGATATCATCTTCATTAAGTTTCCTTTTTTTATCATAATTTTTAGTTTCTTTTTCTTTATATTTAATATTTCCTTCTTTGTTGTACAAAGAATTAAGAGATGTTTTATAACTTTTTTTTTGTGTTTTGTAATTATAACTTAATTCGCTTTCACTTTTTCTTTCGTATTTACATTTATTTTTTTGGTGACTATAAGAGTCTGAACTTTCATCATTTCTATCCCTTTCATTATGATTTTGAGTTTTTGAATAGTTATTCTGGTGATCGTTCTCCTTTGTTTCTTCTTCTTTCTTAAAAATTGAATCATCTTTGTTATCATTAGAATTGTACTTATTATTTTTATCTGTTTTTGTAGAGTCTTCTGGTAATATATTAAATTTATTATGTGGACTTTTAATATAACTATTTTTATGTTTTTTTTCAAGACTAAGAGAATGACTACACTCTTTATCAGATTCATTTTTTAATACATCATCACTTTTTCTTTTTGACTCATTTGATAAATATTTATTTTTGTTATTAATGTTTTTTTTTATATTTTTATAAGTTTTTTTATCACTATAACTATTATTATTATTATTATTATTATTCTTTCTATAAAAAAGCATTTTAGAAGATTTTATGTTGTAATTATTATATTTATATTTATAGGAATCTTTTCTATGCTTTTGATTGCGATAATTTTTATTATCTTTATATTTTAAATAGAATTTTTTTTTGTTTTCATTTTCATATTTGTTATATTTCAAGCTATTTCTTTCGTTCGATCTAATCTCAAATTCTCTTATATCATTATCACTTTCATATTTAAATATTCTTATGTTATCATCATTGTTTTGATCATTATTTGAATTTTTATAATCAGATTGTTTTTTATCATCATTATTAAAAACATTTTTAATTGCATTTCTGGTATAATTATTTTTATATTTTGATAAAGATTGGCAAAAATCAACATGTATTCTTCTATCGTCAATAATAACATTATCCATTTCAAAATAGGCATTTAAACAATCTTCCTTTTTTTCAAATTCAATGAAGGCATACTGAAGTGAATTATTAGTAACTTTATCTTTGATAATTTTGCAAGATTTTATTATTCCGAATCTTGAAAAAATTATTTTTAAATCTTCTTCTTCTGTTATAGGGTTTAATTTACATACAAATAAAATATTTTCTGGAGGTTTTAGATCAGCATCTGGTATGTCACCTAATATTTCTAATGTAAGTGCACTTGCTTTGGCATCTTTATCTTTTAATTCTTCAGTAGCTTTTATCTCACTCTCTAATTCATTATTTTTTTTATTGTTTTCATTATCTTCTTTTTTATTTTCATTTTCTTGTATTTGATCTTTTTTAACTTCACTTTCATTAAAATTATCACATATATTTATCAATTTTTGCTTATCATTTCCATCATTAAATTTGTTTTGTGTTGTTTTATTTTTATTACTTAATTCTATATTACCATTTGTCCCTGATAAAATGCTTTTATCCATTAATTTGTCTTCAATTAATGAAGAATTTGTTACTTTTTTCATATTATATATATATATCTGTAAAAAAATAAAATATAAATATTTTTTTTTATTTTACTTTTAAAAATATTTACATAAAATATTATAAATAGTCCCAAACATTTTTTTTTTTTAAATCAAATGTTCAATGAATATAAATTCTAAAGACTAAATAATGTATCTAAAATAAAGTCTTAAACCTTTTTAAAATTACATAAATATAGAAGCTAAAGATAGTTTCTTTTTTCTTTCTTTTTTTTTTTTTTTTTTTTTTTTTTTTTAACATTAAGGTGCTCTTAATATAAATTTATGATTATTACTTTAAATATTTTATATATAACTTTATAATTTTTAACCTTTCTTGTAGTGAAAAAATATATATATATTGCTATTGTTATTACTATTTTATTAGTGTTTTTTTTTTTTTTTTTTTTTTTTTTTTTTAACATTAAGGTGCTCTTAATATAAATTTATGATTATTACTTTAAATATTTTATATATAACTTTATAATTTTTAACCTTTCTTGTAGTGAAAAAATATATATATATTGCTATTGTTATTACTATTTTATTAGTGTTTTTTTTTTTTTTTTTTTATTTCTTATTTTTTTCTATAAATGTAAAAAATATATTTTTTTCCTTCTTTTTATATAATAAAAGTTAAATTTTTTTTTTTTTTATAAAAATACATAAATAACATTTTTATTACAATTATTGATATTATTATTATTATTGTTGCTGCTAAATTTATATACTCTAAAACTACATATATTACGACCAAATTCTCTTTTTATTAATGTAATAATTTTTTTATCTCGTTTAACAAAATTTAAGCTGTTATAAGTTTATTTAATTGAATAGTTGAACAAATGGTATTGCAATATGTAGTTATATTTTTATAAAATTAAAAAAAAATTATTTTTAAAAAATTATAAAATCTTAATTCAATAAATTTTTTTTTATTTTTTTTTTTTTTAAAGTGCAAAAATGTTAATATATATATTTTAAACAAAAATATATGTACTTTTTCAGTGAAGATTTTATGATATGTAGAATATAATATTATTATTTCCTTTAAAAAGAAAACTTTTTTAACTATTGGTTACACGTATGTATATTTTATATTAGAGATTATCTTTCATACTGAAAAATATACAATTTATTTATTTTTAAAATTGTAGAATTTTAATAAAAAAAAAGAAATATTCTACAATTTATAGACAATTTTATAAATTTTAATTTTTTTTTTTTTTTTTTTTTATATAACTTATGAAATTTAAAAAAAATATTATGAAAAACAAATGAATAATGTTTATAAATATGTAAATATGTATATTTAAAACTATATTTAATTTTTAAGGTATTTTTTTTTTTTCCTTTATAAATCATGATGCATACTAAAAAAAAAAAAAATATATATAATAAAATATACACTTTTTCTAACTATAATTTTATACATATATATATTCAGAAGTATTAAAAAAAGATGAACAAAAAAGTTATATTAAATATGGATTTTGAACATTATGTATAATTTTAAGAAAAAAATGACAAAATGTGGTACACATATATACTTTTTAGTAAATTTTCATAAAAAAAATAAGCATTTTACCAAATGATATAATGTGAAAAATATAAAATTAATTATTGAAAAAAAAAAATAAAATAAATATAAAATATAAAATATTTTTTATATTATTTATTTAATATTTTTCTTTCTTATATTAATAACAAGCTATATTATTTATTTTCTGTTTTTCGTAAAATAATTCCCTTTAGCTATTAAATTTATGATTACATTATGAAAAAAAAAAAAATGAATAAGATATTTATTTTAATCTTTAAAATTTATTATTTTAATATGATATAAATATCATATTATCAAAAGATACTTCAGGGAGGTGATATATTTAAATTTTCCATTTATAAAATATATGTATTTTATTTATATTTTCCATTTATTATTTTTAATATTAAAATAATCTACATCCTTACTATATATGTAATTTACTTTTGATGATAATAATAATTACAAATTTTTCTTATTTTTTTTTTTATAAATTTTGTGCTTTTTCCTCTACTTTATTTTCAATAAAATTAAAAGATTCTTTTACGCAATTTTTTATTCTTCTGTTATATTCAATTCTATTCTCAACAAATAAAAGAGCAGCTTCTTGATTAGCTGGACTGTTGGGATTAGGATCACTTAATAATGATTGAATTGATGTTAAAATTGCAGATATATCATAAATTGGACTCCAATGTTTTTGAAGTATATCAATACAAATGTTTCCGTCCATATATATATTGGGATGAAACATCTTTGTTAAAAATTTTACTTTAGGTGGTTTGTTTGGATATTCATTTCCAAATAAAAGTTCTAATTGAAATGTACCTATATTAACAAGAAAAAAAAAAAAAAAAGAAAAAAAAAAGACATTAAAATAAATAATATATGTGCTTTTAGTATAGTTTAAAAAAGATTAATTTAAATAGATTTTTTTAAATAAAATTGAACATAAAATATTTTAATACATATATATATAGGATGATTTTTTCAAATACATTTTATACTGTCATCTAATATAATTTTTCTTTTTTACCTCCTTCCCAAGGAGTATCAGTTGGACCAAATATAACTGCTCTCCATTTCATGATATCATTTCCTATCGGTGAACCACTAATACCATATGGTGAATCCATTTGAAGTTTCCTAAAATCACGTATTAATCTTTTTTTTGCTAAATTTGACATGATTTTAAAAGTAATTTATATATATATATATGTTTTAAATAAAAATCCCTTAAATTGTATAAAAATAAAGTTATATAAAAACTTATATATATCTAATCACTTAATAAAACCCCTATTTTTACTAATTTTTTTTTTAAATTACAATCTCAAAAAAACATTAAACACATGATTTCATAAAATATACGTAAAAATTGCAAATTATGAAAATTTTGAAAAGATACACATAAAAAAATAATGTAAATATAATATACATAAGTAATATATATATATACAGGAAAATAATATATAATAATTATAAAAGTATATATATAAAAAATATAAATATGTTTATCTGCTTTTTATATATAAGAAATTTTTAAACAAAGTAGAAAAATGTATAAAAAAAAACTTATATCAAAAAACTTAAAAAAAAAAAAAAAAAGAAACGCACAAAATACATATTTTATAAATGTATACAAATTCAATAAAAAAAGTATGTTATTTTAGGTGTTTCATATAACTTTTAAAAAAATTATAATCTAATTAATTATTATCAGTAAATGTACATATTTGATAGCTATTTTTTATATTCATAAAAAAATATTTGAAACAAATTTTTTATATAAAAACTTTCTTTTTATTTTTTTTTTATTTCTTGTTTTTTTTTTTTTTTTAATTAAATTTACTTTTATTATATGGTTATATTTCTTAATATTTATTTTTCTTTTAAATTTTGCATTTTTATATTTGAAGTTCATGGTCATTTTTTATTTTTTTATTTATCTTTTTTTTTTTTTTTTTTTTTTTTTTTTTTTTTTTTTTTTTTTATTTTTATTTTTGAAGAATTTTATTGAAAATGATTAAAATTTTATTTTTTCATAAATTTTAATAAAGCAAAATATTTTAGCATACAATTAACAAAATAATGATAATAAAAATATTAATAATTGTATATTTAAATATATAAATTAAAAGTATTTACATTTATAATTTTTTTTTTTTTTTTTATCTTCTTTATTTAGCTACCTATAAATATAAGAGTAAAATGAATTCAAGTAATATCGGCATTAACATTTATGATTAATGCTGTTAAGGAGTATTAATTATAATTATTTTATTATAAAATAACTTCCTTAAATTTTATTAAATTTTTATTTATAAATATAACCTAATATAGCTAAAAAACAAAGAAAAAATACACATTTGTATAAATGCATAAATGTAAGCACATAAATATACATATATATTAAATGATATAGATGCGGTGGCACATATAAAGAAAATTTAAGTGTGCTTCTGTAGACAATTTTTTTATAAAAACACCACCTTCCGTTTTAAATTTCAAATTTGTATCAAAAAAAAATATATATATGTATTTTTTTAAAATTTTGTAAATAAAAGAACAAAATGCCTAAATATTATTGTGAATATTGTGATATATATTTAACACACAGTTCACCAGTTGGTAGAAGACAACACATTCATGGAAGAAAACACATAAGTGCAAAAATAGAATATTTTCAAAATTTGTTGAGAGAAGAAGGTATTACACCTCAAAACTTTTTAGGTTTTTTGAATAATAGAAATTATAACAATTCAATGGTATATCCAATGATGAATTATATGCCTAATAATATAAATATGTATATGAAATATAATCAAATGAAAAGTTATCAACACCCTTTAAGAAATGTTAATACATTTCGTTTAAATGTACCTAATAATAAATATTCAAGAGTTGGTTATTTTCCACCTAATGCTGCAAAATGTCCACCTAATCAAGTACAAAATATAAATTATCCTAATAATAATAAATATCCTAATAATTCCCTTACCCACCCTAATATCATTAATGTAAATAACAAAAACAGTAATTATATAGGTAATAATCAACTTAGTAATAATCTAGATTTAAATGATACAAATAAAAACTCTATCACTAATACAACAGGAAACCCAACTTCCTTTAATGATAATAGTTGTCAAATTATGAACGAAAATAACTTGAATAATATAAATAATAATCTAAATAATGACAATAGTAATTTAAATAATGCAAATAATATATTAAACAATACAAACAATAATTTGTACAACGAAATTAATAATTTAAATAATACTACTAATAGTAACACAAATAACACATACAATAATCCAAATGACATAACTTATAACTTAAAGAATAATAACAATCATGGTATCCTAAATCAAAATGGTTTAAAAAGTAACTATAATCAAAAAGATATAAATCCTGAAGTAAACTCTGATAATAATTACACATATGAAAAAAATTTAAATAATTATAATAATGAAGTTAATCATCATTATAACAATGATAATGTAATAAATGAAAATGACAATAATGAATAAGTTTTTACAGTGTAAATTATAATTTTTTAAATTATAAATATTTTTTTTTTTTTTTTTAGTAATTTTGTTTTGTTTTTTAGCATTCACTATTTTAAACAAAAAAATAAAGATTTACATAAAAATATAATAAATAAAAATATTAATTCATGTTTAATATATCTTTCCATACGTACATTATTTTATTCATTCTTTTATTAATTTCACCTTTTTATTTATTTATTTTTTTTTTTTTTTATCTTTGATAAAATTATGCTTTGTTCTATCTAGTACAATACATTTATCTTTCATATGTCTATAAACATATATATTAAAATATTGCATATAATAAATATGAAACATATTTTTAAATAAGTTATTTCCTTATATAATTTTTTTTTAACTAATAAAAAGTTCCCAAAATTTTTTTTTATTATGTGTGTTATTAATATAATTATATTTAGATTTATATGCTTTAAAAAAAAAATAAAATAAAATCATTGATATATTTACATATAATCATCGAAAATAAATATATATATTTGTGAAATATATATACAGTATTACTTAAAATTAAAAATGAATATAAAATAATAATTAATATGTATACTTGTAAAAAAAAAAAAAGAAGTAAAATATGTAAATTTATTAATTTAATTAAAAAAAGATCTATAATATATGAGAAATAAAATAACAAAAAAAAAAAAAAAAAGTAAAACTGTTTATTAAAAGCAATCTTCATACGCATTTTTTGAATGTTTTTTTTCATGATGATCTTTTAATATAGACTGATTAACAGTGCACATAAAAGTATGTTTACATAATTTACAAATAACATTCAAATTTTTTGAAGCATCTTTAACGGTACTATTTGGCTTTGCTTTATCATTCCTTTTTGATGACCTAATTCTATCAACTTCTCTTTGATTTCCTCTAGTCATTTTTTTTTTTTTCTTTTAAATGTTTTCTATTTAGTTATATTAGAAAAAAAATAACAAATAAATGATTATAAATTTACAAAAAAAAAAAAAAAAAAGAATTATTTAATATGTATATAGGTAAAAGATAGAATGATTTTATGTATATAATTTAAAATAATATATATTAAAATATCATATAAAATAACATAACAATTAAATAATATTAATATGTAGAAATTAATATATTAATTTTAATAACAGACCCTTTATTATTTTATTTTTTTTTTTATTTTTTTTCTGTTAAGTATATGATGAAAAAAAAGAAAATTAAAATAATGTTTTTTAATCGAATGCATAAAAACATCGAATATATAATTTTACAGTTTTAAGAGATCAAATAAATATTTTATATAAAAAACAAAAAAAAAAAAAAAACTTTATACCTTATATGAATCTATGCTTATAATAATATATTTATTAAAAAATGGCCCATTAATACATCAAAAAGAAACATTCGAGGGTATTCATTTTATTAATATATTCGATTTCATCAAATTATATTATTTTTAAATTTAGTTTAAAATATTAAGTTTTAAAAAGGAAATCTTTTTCATTATTTAAAATTTTCGTATAATATTATTAAAAACATAAAAAGGCAATAATATTAAAAAGAAAAAAGGATAAAATAAAAACATATATTAAAAAGGTAATAATAATCTCAAAACTAATTAACAAAAAATATATATAAAATAAAAATTGTAATATTAAATTATATATTCAGTGTGCATTATTCATTAAAATACCAAAAAATAAAGAAATTTTCAAAAAACTTGAAACAATTCAAAAAAAAAAAAAAAAAAAAAAAGTTTAGCAAAGAGGACAATATAAGTATAAATGATTTAAATTTTTTTTAGAAATTTTATATTAAAGAAAATTCATTTTTTTTTTTTTTTAAATTACGAAATATTTTAATTTTATGAGCATTTGAAGATAATGTATCATAAATTCTGTAAAGAAAATCATATAATTCATTATAATCATTAGTATAATGGCAAAACTGGACACCTTGTAAATATTCTTTTCCAGTTTCATAATAAATTAGATCTGCAGTTTTTTTTTTAGTTTGCAATGAAAGATTTATATCTTTTTCCTTTTTATTATATTTTCTTTGTATTGTTTTTGATGTTCTGAAATTATGTTGCAGGTCTTTTTTTTTTTTTCTTGAAGAGATAGGTTCTGTGTGAATTTTATGAAACATTAATTTTTTTATATTTTTAGACTGTGAAAAATTTGAATCAAATGCATTTTTTTTAATATTTTTCATTGAAATTTTTAAATTTAAATCATCTGGTATATAATCTTTCTTTTTTTTATTATTCTTTTTTTTATAATTTTGATATATATATTTTTCATATTCATCTTTTTCTTTCTTATCATTTATATCTTTTTCCACATTTTTACTTCTGCAATCATCTTTATATTCATCTGCTTCTTTATTTCGTTCATCTTCACATTCATTTGTTACATTGTCTTCATTTTCGTTTTCATACGTTTCTTCATTCCATTCATCTTCATTTTCATCTGTTTCTTTATCTCCTTCATCTTTATATTTATCTGCTTTATATCCTACATCTTCACATTCATTTGTTACTTTGTCTTCATTTTCATTTTCATCCGTTTCTTCATTCCATTCATCTTCATTTTCATCTGTTTCTTCATTACATTCATCTTCATATTCATATATATCCTCGCCAACATCAAAATCATTATTCTTAAGATTATTTTCATAATAATAATTATTTTTTATTTCATTACTTTCCACTTCTGAATTTTTAGTATAACTGATAGTATCGCAATAATTTTTAAAAATATTTCTCTTTTCAAAGATATTTTCTATTTCTTCATAAATTTTTTCATTTTTATTTATAAGATGCTTATATGATTTTTTATTTTTAACATAAAGCTTTTCTTTTTTATTAGTTGTAATTTTTTCTTTATTTTGTGTGTTTTCATTAAAAAAAATGCTTTTAAGTGAATCTAGAAAAAAGTATTTTTTCTTTTTTGATTCTTCTTTATATTCATTTTTAAAAATAGTGCTTTCTAATTTAATCTTTATTAATTTTTTTTCTTTTGTATCATCAACATGATAATATTTTTCATTTTGCCTTTTTGTATATTGTTTAAGAACATAAACAGGATTTGTATTAAACCAGTTGTAAGGTTTAATTTCTGCAAGATTCTTGTAAGTTATATTATTTACTTTTTTTTTTTTATTTAAAGAAATATTTATAACATTATAAAATAAAAAATATATTAAAGTATGAAAAAAAAAAATTAGAGGAAGAATTAAAATACTTATACTATATGATCTCCATAACCAATAAAATGGCAATATTGATAGTATTCCTAAAAAAAAAAAAATATTTCACAGATTAAAAAAGTAATTAAATAATGATATGAATATCTTATGTTTATGTTATTAATTTTAAAATAAAAAAGGAAATGCTCATACCAGTAGGAATAGACCAAAATATCATAACAGTGTCAAATAAAAAAGTGCTATAATAATAGGTTACCTTTGTTTCTCTAAGAAATAAGTAAGTATCTCTATATTTTATAAATAGATAAGATAAAAAAAGAAGTAGAAATGTAAAAGAAGTACTATACTTATTATGCGTGAAAAAAAATAATAATAAAGTAGTAGTAAAACTAATAACTATTTCACTATATCTATAATGCAAATTACATTCAGGGCATTGAATTAGTTGCTCTGCTTTTTTAATTGTTGTTTTGGGAAAAAATAATATTCTTACTGACTTATAAATGAATGGAAAAATATACACACCAAAAATAGAAAAAAAAGTAGGAAAAAAGGAAATAAAAGGGAGAATATTATAGTTTAAAGATTGGCAAAAAGAATATTCTTCCCCTAAAACAATGTTTTGTAATTTAAAATGATTAAAAAACTTACTAGAATAAAATGATCTTATTTTGTTATCTCCTCCTGCGTTAGTTAGGTGAGTAATAAGAACATTAAGTAAAAAATTAAATTGCTGAAAAATGCTATTAATGCAAAACACAAATGCTTCAGTTGACTGTTTTTTTTGAAATTTCATGAATTCACCAACTAATGTAGTTAAAAAAGTAACTAACAAATTACCAAATCCAATAAATATACCTAAAACAATTGAAATAATTACATTAAATAATACTTCATGTTTTTTTGGTTTTTCTATAATACTTGCATGATGCAAGGCAAATATAGCATAAGGTCCATAAAATATAATACTCCACATTATAATTATAAAAAAAAGAAATATTATTACAATAATTATTTTCATTAATATTATTATAGGAGTGTGATTACCAATATTTTGCCACTTTATATCTATCGGTTCTACATTACATTTTCTAACTTGAAAATTTGTTCCTTCAATATTAAATTTTTTGAAAAACTCAGATAACACATTTTGAATTTTTTCTTTTTCTTTCTCTTTTTGTTTTCCAATTTTCTTTTTTTTTCTATTATCTTTTTCGTTATTCATAGAGACATTATTATTATGTATCCTTTTATTATTATAAAAATATGGCAATAGCTCATAAGAAAATGTATTTTTTTTTTTTTCTTTTTTTTTTGAAAATATTTTTTTCAAAAAAGAAAGTAAAAATAAATCTGATAATATATATTTCTTATTTTTTTTTTTAATTTTATATTCATTTATTAAGTCATATGCTAGGTTTAAATCTTCAATGTTATTAAATACAACAAAAGCTTTACCACAACTTTTTAAGTTACATACAGTTTTCATATCTTTTGAAAAATCCTTTTTAAAAAAAAGGCTTTCTTCACTGGACATATAAAATGGCTCAAATTTTTTTTTTAAATTTGTCTTTTTTTTTTTTTTTATTAAATTATTTTCTTTCTTTTTTTTTAAATAGCAAAAAATTGATGTTTTTTTGTTTTCTTTTAATTTATTTGTTATTTTGTTATTAAAAAAGGGAGTTTTTTCTTCTTTATAATTAATATTATTATTAACATGTGCTGATGTTTTTTTTAATGAATCGGAATTAACTATTTTACTAGATATTGCTTTAAAGAAATCATCTTTAACACTTACCTTGCTACATTTATGTGAGAATATATCTAAATTAGATATATTTTTTTTTGATATTATAAATCGAGGAATTTCTATTGTAAAAAAATTCTTCTTATTTTTATTTATTATATGACTCTTAAAGTTATTATTATAGTACGGGCTGTGTTGAGTAATATTTAAATTATTATCTTCACTATAGGGGTTTTTCTTATCTCTTTTATTATTTGACTCAATAAAATTTTTATAGTTTCTATTATTACTTTCATATATATCTTCATTATTAAAATATAATAGTTGATTAGTTTTGTGTATTATTTCTTTATTATTTTTTTCATGATTAAAATTCCTTAGTTTCCCTATTAGGTGCTTATTACCAATTCGTTCATCATAAGAATTTCTATTTTTAAAGTTTCTTTTTTTTTTTTTGTTTTCTAATAAAAAATTATTAATGTGACTATGAGTATTTTTATCATAAGAAGAATCCTTTTGATTTTCTTCTATCCATTCCTCATAATTTTGGTGTAGTTTGACTTTAATATCTGCCCATTCTATTTGCTCTTCGATTAATTTAAAAATAATTTTTTTTTTTTTATAAAAATCATAACATAGTGACACACCTATTATTTTTTTTTTTAATAATTTCTCAAAGAAAATTTTAATATCTTCTTCTGAAATATGGCTAGGAAAATTAGATATAAAAAGTGCAAAATTCATCATTTGTTGAGAAATGTTTAATTTATAATTACTGAATTTTTTTTGGTTATATAAAAATGAGAATGTAGCAATCATGCATATCATATATCTAATAAAAGAAGTGATTATTGTATTTTCTTTAAAACGAGTAATAATGTTAAACATGTCTAATGTCATCCAATCTAAACTTTTAATGTCAATTAAACGAGATATTTTTAGAGAAATATATTTTTTTAAATAAGAGCAATTTTCAAATGAAGTAGTAGATTCAATGTTTCTATAAATTTGTATAAGTTTGCTAAATGGTAAATATACTTCAAATAGACATACTATAATAAAAGTAACAGACAGAAAACTTAAAAATGTTAAAAATCGAAAGTACAACATTAATCCAACACCAGCAATATCTATTTTTGATAATTTTAAATTTAATGGATATAAAGGGTTACCATATTTTTTGTTATTTCTGAATTTTGACAACGTTCTATGTTGAAATGCCAATTTAAATAAAAAAAAATTTATTTTATGAGGATTTTTATAAAAATATACAATAAAAAATAAAACAAATAACAAAAAAAAAAGAAGGAAAAAGCTACAACATTTTATAATTATTTCTTCATAAATTAAATTACATTTAGTTTTATCATTTGACAATTTATATCCACTCATACATTCTAGACATATATTCGGTAAATTATTTCTGATATTCAGTAAAAACTTTGAATTTTCTTTAATATCACTTTTTATACATCGAATGCAACCGGATACTAAGCAAGGCAAGCATTTATTCGATTCTTCATCAGCAAAATTTAATAAAGGATTATATAAAGAGCAATTTTCTTTTATTGTACAAATACCAATACATTTCCATACATCGTTAAAACTAATAAAAGGACATTCTTCTGGACAAAAAAGATCTTTACTATTATCAATAAAATAAGGTTCATCACAAAGTATATTCATATTTTATTTATATATATAGTCATAAAAATAAAATACAATACATAATAATTATGAATTATTAAAAAATACATTTATTGTAACAATTTAAAACCTCATTAAAATAAAAGTTAACATGGAATATTAACAATAAAATTATCATAGGAATACTTTTAAATAAAAATATAAGATAAAAAAAAAATAATAATAATAAAAATACGAAAATTAATATTTAATTATAAAAGAAAAGTTAAACAAAATTAAAAATAAAACATTATTTATAACAAAAGTGTTACATAAATTTAAGAATATAAAACATGCTCGATAAGATATTAAATAAACACATATATTTGTTATTTTTTGTAGATTAATTATATAAAAATTATTATATATACACATAAAAAAGAAGTTTAACAAAAAGAAAAAATATAATATATATAGAATATAGTAATTATTTTATTTTATTTTTATTTTTTTTATAATAAGATACAAATTAAAATACATGTATATTATTTTAATGATGAAATTTATATTTACACACAGAAAAAACAAAAGTGTGTACACTTATTTTAAATTTTCCTAGAAAATGTATCTTAATTTTTTAGAAGTTGAAAACTTATGTAAATTAGTATTTTTATAGTATTATGTGTGAAATACTAACAAAATATTAACAAAGATAAACAAAAAAAAAAAAAAAAAAAATTAATATTTAAATATTTTAAAAAAAAAATATTGAATAATGTATAATTTAACATTTACTTCTTTTTATATTCTTTTTTATTAAGCATATATGCTTAATTAAAAGAAAGAGTTGCTGTGTAAATGAAGAAACATGTGAATATATAGATATAAAAGCAAAATATATTTTACTAAAAAAAATATAATTTGATATTGCATTTAGCCGCATTAACCAAGCAACTAAAAACACAAAAACAAAAATATAAAAAAAAAAAAAAAAAATGAAATGAGAAAGAAGTAAGATAAATAAGGTCATAAAATTTCTTATTTTGAGAATTCGATTTATCACTTGATAGAACGTAAATAAATTTAATTAAAAGTAAAAAAAGTATATATTTTCTGAAATTAATTTCGAGATAAAATTACATTTTTTGTTTTATTCTCATGAAAAACTATATATTTCCTTTCTTTAGATTAATTCTAAAATTTTCTTTTTTTTTTGCATTATAATTTTTTAGTCATATACACTTAAAAAAATAAAAAACAATTTCTAAATATTATATTTTAACTTTTTACTAATAAATTAAATAAAAATTAGTTCTTTTCATAATATGTTATAATAATTTTATTCCTTCATTTTTTTAAAGAAATGTATGTTTTGTATAAATATGTTCATTATTTCAATATTTTTTTCATTTTTTTTATTTTTTTAATTCATGAATATATTAAAAATAAAAAAGAATATGCATCGTAACTCATGCCATACATGCTTAATATAATGAAACTATAAAATAAATATGTAAAATATAAACATGAGAAGTTTACAAATTCTAATGCTATAATAAAATTTAATTTTCATGAAAAAAAAAAATAAAGATAAAAAATTAAAATTTTTAAAATTATAAAAAAAAAAAAATATACATTAAGTCCAAAAGATTACTTCAAAGCATTATTCGAAATATTAAATACAACACAAAAAAAAACCGAAAAAATTACACGAATTATAAAATTTAAAAATAACTATAAAACAAAATTAAAAAAGCCAAATATATAAATGTATATATATAAATAGTCAATATTTTCATTTAATAATATTATGAAAAAAAATAAAATATAAAATAATAAAAATAAATAAAAAGTAATGTACAAAAAAAAAAAAAAAAAAAAAAAAAAAAAAAAATTAAAAAAAAAAAAAAAAAAAAAAAAAGAAAAAAAAAAAAAATGAAAAATGAAAAATAAAAAGTAAAAGGCAATATCAATTTATAAATACATAAAATTTAAAGGATAGTTTTACAATATTAAAATTAATACAAATAAATATAAAAAAAAAAAAAGGTAAATAAATTTTTAAAATCTTCTATCGGATTCAAACACGGGATAACTCATTGGCTTATATAAATTCCTATTCATATTGATGTTGTTATTAAAGCTATTTGGTAACGAATTAAACACATTATATGGCTTTTTGATATTTCCATTTGAAATTAAATTTTGTAAAGAAAAAGGATTTTTATCAGATACAATAATTGGCGAAAAATCAGAATTGTATATATCATGAAATTTTTTTAACTCATTTACATTACTTTGATTGCAATGACTTAAAAAGTTCATATTGTTAGAAGCCAATGTACTATTGTTTGCTTTATTCAAATTACTATTTAAAATAAATGGACAATTTTTAGAATTCGGAAAAATTAAACCTTTATTACTTGCATCATTATCAAAATGAATTCTTGTATTTGATTTGTTATGATTGTTAAATACATATGGATTTTTTAACAAATGATGATTATATACAGAATTAGAATTATTTGCAGAATACTGATTATTTAATAAATTTCTTTTATTTAGTAGATAAAAATTATTCATAGCATTTTGATTATTAGGAAAATTAGAATTATTAAAATAATTTAAATTATCTAATGTATTATATCTATTATTATTATTACTACTATTATTATTATTATTATTATTATTATTATTATCAAACGGGTCATATGGATGCATACTTATTTTATTATATTTCATTTTATTTAATTTATTTTCTTCATTTAATTTAATGTTAAAATTATTAGGAAAATGTGTGTTATTAATATACATAGCATTAAAGTCATCTACACATAAAGGATGGCTATTTATTTGCTGATTATTTGGTGTTCTAATAAATTTTGTATTAAAATTATTTTTTTGAAAATGATCAAACTGAATGTGATTCATTTTATTCCCTTTGTTGAAATCGTTGAAACTTTTTTGGTTCATTTGATTATAACTCAGGTGATTAGTATCAAAATCATTAAAAGTATCAACATCTTTTTTATAATCAGAACTATTAATCTTATTGGAATTCATAATTCCTATCATACCTGGTGTTGAATTATCATAATCATTCAAACTAAAATCATCAAAATCATCCGTTTCTTCATTTTTTTTTTTTTTTTTATATTTTTCTTTATGTTTTTCTTTATGCTTTTCTTTTTCTTTTTCCTTTTTTTTCTTCTTTTCCTTTTTCATTTTTTCATATTCTGAATCTGAACTATCTGATGTTACATCGGCATATTTCTTACTTGAACGTCTACTTTTTGATTTTGATTTTTTTTCATAATTATAAGAAGATTTTCGATGATGCTTATTATGACGCTTATTTCCTGAACTTCCAAATTTTCTTTCTAATTTTTGAACATCATAATAACTTATTGAATCCTCTCCTATTTTCTTTTTGTGTTTACTTTTATAAGAACATTTATCACATAAAAATTCATAATTATATGTATCTACAAATGTGGGTTTTCCACTATTACAATAATTACATCTTTCTTTAGATGATAAAAAAAATAATTTTTCTACAGCTAAAGCTTCTTCATACTCCCTTTCTGAAATTCCTAATTGAGTAGCTGATGACATTTTTTTTTTTTTTTTTTTTTTAGATATAGCTATTATATATTAAAAAAAAAAAAATTTTTTATTGGAGAAGTAAAAATCCATAGAGCTAATAATATAGTCGCTTTAAAAATGTGGGAAAATGTAAAAAAATCATTTTTTCCTTGTTTTTTTTTTTTAAGAATTACATATGTAAATTTAAATAAAAAAGAATATATATGTTGTAAATAAAAAATAAATAATATAAAAAAAAATTTTAGTAATAAACTTTATAATAACTATTGCTAATTTTTCTTTAATTTTTTGCAAAAATATAATCAGAACGTTTTGCTGACAAAAATTTAATTAAAAAACCTTTAAAATGTGTGTAATTACTTTAGTTTTTATACCCTATAAAAAAACTTTTAATTTTCAAATGGTTAATATTTTTTTAAAAAATATAAAAAAAAAATTTTGTTAACGTTTTAAAAATAAAATAATACTATATTACAATATAATACAAACTTATAAAAAAATTTTTCTCTAGTATATGTTTAAATAAAACAATTACGATAACTTCCATATAATGGATTATTTACATAATAAATAGAATCCAAGATAAAAAGTAAAAAAAAAAAAAAAAAATTAATTTATATATAAATATTAATGAAAATACATAAAATATTTTAGTATAAAAAAAAAAAAAATTTAAGTAAAATATGTAAATAAAATAAAACAATAAAAAAAGGAAAAAAATTTATTATAATATATTTAAAAAAAAAAAAATTATATTTTTTTTTTTTTTTGTATATTCGCTTGTTATTGCATGTACTACATAAAAATATGAAGATTATTTCATTTAAATATATTAAAAGTTTTTTATATAATTTATATTAAAAATAAAATTATTTAAACATATTATTTATTATATGTAAATCTTTATTTACATATAATAAGCATGATCATGTAAAAAAAAGCTTGAGTTATTTTAAACTGAAATTCTTACTAAAAATATTTAAAAAAATAATTTAAGTTATATTGCACTTCCATTTTTCTTTTTCTTTTTCCTTTTTTTTTTTTTTTTTTTTCTTATTTTTTGATTTAATCAAAATAAACTAATCGAAAACTAATGTACAAGAATAAAAATATTTTTAATGCAAATGAAATTTAGAATTAACAATATAGGAACACTATCTTACAATTTAGATTAAGGTATTCAAGTTAATAATAATAAAAAATTTTTAATGAAATTTTATTTTTTTTTTCTATAACGTGTGTGAAAATAAATAATATATAATTTAAATTTATATTGTAGTATAAATATATGAATATTTAAGTTTACTAAGAGATAGTATGAAACAAAATATATTAATAATTGTTTCATTTAATTATCCAATTTATTTTTTTTTTTTTTTTACAATTTTAAATTTGGTATATATCAACCTAATAAAGATCCTAATATTATTCTAATATCTCAAAAAAAAAAAAAAATATATAGCTCTTTTTTTAAAGTAATATTTTTCATTTCCTATTTTTTTTATTCTTACAAAAATATATATAATATTTAAAAGAAAAAATAAATACATATCTGATTTATTCTATAAATTTTTATTTTAAATTGTGATAATAAGTTTAGAAATTTTAAATAAAATTTCTAAGATATCTTTTTATAACCTTTACAAAATAATTAAAGTTAACACTTATAATATAAAATAGGTAATTAAATATAAATAATTATATTCTTATTTTTTTCTTTATTTTTATGGATATATGGTTTTTAGTTATATTTATCTAAAAAAAAAAGTTTGATATTTAAAATTTTATGATTTTTCATCTTATATTTTTAATAAGAGGGGAAAAAAAAAAATTAAAGATTTTTTAACTAAATATAGATTAACGACAATTTTCGTTTATTTTTGCGAAAGTAAAAAAAAATATTCAAAATAAAATAAAAATGAAACAACATAGATAAAGAAATGTAAATATAATGAAATAAATAAAATTATAAAACAAAAAATTAAAAAGTATATTATAGATAGTAAATTAAAAAAAATTGTGCACTATTAGAAGAAATTAAAAACATAAAAAATCTTTAAAGGAAAGAAAAATTATTACATATAAAAAATAACTTTATCAAATTATTCATAAAATGAATGAAAAACATATATTTAAAATAAGTATATAAACTACAACATATGTTGGTACTATTTTACTACCATCTCCCTTATAATTACAAATTTCTATTATTATTTCTAAATAATATTAATTATTTATTCATAATATATGTTAGTGGATTATGAATAAAACTTTTTTGATTTTAATTAGTTATTATTTATATATTTTTAATTACTTCTAATTATTTTTCGGAACTTGAGAAATTTTGATCAGTATTACTAATGGAAGTATTTTTTGATGTATCTAATTGATTTTTAATATTATCTTTTTCTTGTAATTCTTTTTTGTGTTTTTGCACTTGTAATACTAATTCTTCAAATTTTGTTTTAACATCATCATTTTTCTGTTGAGATTCACTAGATTGATTTTTTGTTTTATATCTTCTAGCTAATTCTCTTGCTCTCCTTTTTAGATTAGCAATTTTGATTTCCATATCATTTACTTCATTAGCTGATGAAGACATTAATTCTTTTTTTTTTTCTTGGAAAACCTTTAAACAACCTGATAAGCCACCTTGATTTTTAAAGGTGAGAGTTCTTGTTGCTCTTCTTACGAATGGTATTACTGTTGTATCATTTTCATTAACTAATGATTCTTTATTATCTTCACAACTTTTCTCCTTTTCATCATTTTCTTCATTTTCTATGTTTTTATATTCTTTAGTTACTTGAAAATTTACTTTTGATTTTTTCTTTGTATTTTCATCATCATTCTTAATATCATCTTTGTTTTCATTGTTTCCTTCATCACTAACTTTCTCTATAGTATTAAAAGAATTTAAATGATCTGATCTTGTAAAACTACGGCTAAATAATTTTTCTATTAAAGCTGAGCTATCTTTTTTAGAACAGGAAGAGTTACTATTAGAGTGATTTAATAAGCTATTAATTCTTTCACTTAATTCATTTGAGTTGTTTGAACAGTTTGAATCAATCGAGTCAGAAGAATTTTTATTTGTTATTTCATGTTTATCATTAGTTTCACTATTATAACTTATGTTTGTATTATCAGAAGATTCTTTTTTTAAATGTGTATTATCATTATTGTTTCCATTCTCTTCAACTAATTCATTGTAATTATCTTGTTCCGGTTGAGAGATGTATTGTGATTTTCCATCATATTCATCTTTATTTTTATTTAATTTATCATTATAATTTAAATTATTTATTTTTTTATTATTATTACATTCATATATGTTTCCATAATATCCCTCTTCATAATTAAAATAGTCATTATTTTTATAATTGTTATATGTATCAGGTTCTTTGCACTGTGCATTAGTATAAATACTATCACAGTTATATTCATCATCATTTTCATAATAGTTAATATTGCTTTCATTGTTATTATCATAGTAACTTTCATAGATATTTAAATCGCTATTTTCTACATTATTATTTACATAGTTATTTAGGTAATTATTTACATCGTTACTTCCAGTATTATTTTCCCCAGAATTTTCATCATATTTATTTAATAATTCAGAGTCTTCTAATTTATTTTCATAGTTAAAATTTTTTGCATTATTTTTTGAAGAATATAATTTATTATGCTTCTTAATATCAACAATATCTAAATCATTATCTAAAGAATTTTTTGATCTCACTGATTCAGATATGTTTGAAAATTCTGGCGTTTTTCCTACATTTGTATTATCATTATTTACTTTGTTAGATGTATTATAATTGGATTCATTCCACTTTTCTGAGTTATTAATACTATCAATATTTTCATCCTTTTCATCTACATTTGAATATTGTGCATTAACCGAACCTGCATAATTTTCTGTCGCCTCTAATTTATTATTGTGATTGTCATTACTTTCAAAAACCCCATCATTTGATTCTTCTTCATACTCTTTCCATTCTCCTGATAGCAAATCGAAATACCACCATTTACTATTTATTATATCATAATAAAACTTTATATCTTCTGACATTTTTAGCTTTTTTTTTTTTTGTTTTTTTATATTTTTTCTCCATATCAAAACCAAAAACAAGAATCAGTCTTTTTATGCATTAATATTCATCAATATTGGTATTGTATTCTTTTAACATTAATACTTTATTTTTATTAATTAATATACTTTATAGCTTACTATGTTTCTTAATATTTTTACATTTTTAAAAAAAATGTTTTCTTTATATTAAATTTTAAAAAAATTCTAAAAATGCTTAAAAAAAAAAGTGTGTGTATTTTTCGAATGAAAAAAAATGAAAAACTGAAATATATTAGTGCTATAAATATAAATATATTACTTTTTAAAAATTATTTAAAAATACAATAACATTACGAATAAAAAAAAAAATAGTAATATACTCGTATATGTCACAAAATTTACAACAAAATTTTTTTAAAAAATAAAAAAATCAAAAAGTAAAAAGTTATAGTATTTCACTAAGGAAATTTTTCGTGGAATATATATTGTTGCAATTTATATTTAACATTTTTTTTTTTGTTAATTATATTAAATAATTCTATTTTTATTATGATAAGTTTATTAAGAAAAAAAAAAAAAAAGTTTCTGTTAATGAAATTCTGTTAAAATTCATAATGAGCAATTACTTTAGAAGCACACACCAAATTTAATAGAAAAACCAAAAACAAAAAATTTTCATAAAATTGAAAAAAAAAGATTATGATAAAAATTATTTAATATATTAAAACAAGGATGAGTTTATATATATATATATATATATATATATATATATTTCTTCTTTTTAATTAATAAGAATATAAAAGCATTTTAATAAAAAAGAAAAAAAATTCTGTACGTTATAGAATATTCGCACACACAAAAAATTTTTCAAAAATGCATGAATTTGAAAAAGAAGAAAAAATGAAGATTTAGAGAGGTTAAAGCCAAGATGCTCTTATTTTTATAAATTATAAAAGCATATAATGGAATAAAAAGAATAAATTACTACATTATATTCACACAATAATGAATAAAAATAAAATATCACTTGTATTATATATTTTATAACCACTTTTCTTTTTTTTGTTATAATTTTTTAATAGTATATCTTTAATTTTTCAGCATGTGAAATTTATTATTAAGTCGAAGTTTGGTTTTATATTTTATGTAACTAAAGAAATATTATACAAAAAAAAGATATAAATAATTTTATGTAACAATGTTTATTTTTATGAATTATTAGGTAATTAAAGAAAAATAACTTTTTTTATTTTTTATTCTCTATTTAAGAAAAAAAGAAAAAAAAAGTGGAAATTATAGATATGATTCATTTTTTGTTTAGAATAATATATGATAACTTTTTTCTTTTAAAAAATAAAATTCAATATATATTTATTGAAATTTGCATGTGTATTGTATTAAATCATTTAGAAACTAAAAAAAAATATGGAGAATAGTTCTATTTTAACAATTTTCATTCAAAATTAATATGAAGTTTAAATTATTTAAAAACATATATAATTTTAAAGTATATGAATATTAGTTGATGAAGTTATTATTTTTGGTAATCTAAAATAAGAATATAAAAAATATAAAATTCAAAGAATATTTATTAAAGAGTTTTATTGAATTTTACTAAAACATTACTTTCATGAAAATGTAGAATTATATTTTTTTTATATTCCTTTATTTTATGATAATTTATATCTTCTAATTAATATTGGGAGATTAATATAAAAATATGTGATTTTTAGTTAAATAAAATAAAAATAATTTCTATATATTTCCTTTCTTTTCCTAATAAAACTAAAAAAATTACAACTACAAATAATTTAATTATTTGGGTTAAAATAAAAGAAAGGAAAATGAAAAAGAAAATAATAAGTATTTATAAGCATTCATAAAATTAAAAGATATTGAATTTTTATTTTTTTAATGACTATTTAACTTTTCTTTGAAGTTTTACATTCCTAAATTTTTCCAAAAAATCTTTGTATAACACTTTAAAATGCTTGTTCTTCACTATAATTTAAGTAATGTAATGCTTGTAAAAATTATTTTGAAGGTTTTTTTACTCTTTTATTTAAATTTAAAAAAAAAAATATATATATATGAAAAGAATACTATTAAGTATTGAACTTATATGTCTATAATATTTTACTAAAAAATATAGCGAAATTTAATCATATATTTGACTATTCACTTTACGAATTTATCAATTAAAATAAAATATATAATAGTTTTGTTCTCTTCTAAACTGAATATACATAAATATATAAATTAAAATATTTCAAAAAAATAACCAAAAAAAAAAAAAAAAAAAAATTATATAATTTTAATGATGATAATTTTTTTATATATTTTTTTTTTAGATTATTTTTAAAATGAAATTGTTTTAAATAATTCTATTTCATACATATCACATTTAAATGAAATAATATTAATAAAATATTTACACGTTTTCAATATTTTAATTAAAAAGTTTTAATCAAAATTCAATATCCATTTTAACATAAAAAAACCTTATTTAAATGGAGATCCTTTACTGTTTAAAGCATTTGTCAATAAATGTTGTTTTCTTATTTCTTCTGGTGATTGTATCCCTTCATTTTTTCTAAAAAAAAAGAAAAAAGTATTTTTTCATATTAGTTGTTATAAATATATTTAATGTATTCTCTTTTTTTATTTTATATATTTGAAATGTTTTTTCTATGTATATAATAATAATTATTAAAAGTAAATGAAATAAAGAAATATACATTATTATAAAAATTATAAATTTAATCAGTTTTCTTTTAAATATTATTAAAAGGATATTATATATATATATATAAAGTTTTATTTAAACATTAAGAATACAATTTTTGTTCATGTAAAAATTTCCTTATTTCTCCTTGTGTTTTTTCATCAAAATCAGTTAAATTCTTTTTTGATTCTATTTTTTTTGTGTCTATTTCAGGATCTCCATTTAATACGCATGGCCACCAATTTTCTCTTTTTTTTTCTAAAAAAACTACTATTTTCTTCTTGTCTTCGATACTCCACATGCATTCTTGTTTATTTACTTCTTCATAAAATTCTCCTTCTAATTTCAATTCATCTGCATACAAAAAAAAAAAAAAAAAAAGGTAAAATTTATTTACTATATAATATGAATCCTTCATGTTTAAAATTTTTAATAATTATAAAAAAAAAAAAAAAAAAATTTCTTTCATACTTGAGTGATATATTTTTATATTTTTATTTGTTATTTCAACATTGATTTCGTTAGTTTTAACTTCTTTATTTAAAGGAACTTCTAAATTTATTTCATTTAATGATTGATTCCAATAATATTTATCAGTTTTCCCACCATTCCATGTTGATATATGATTTTCATCTGATTTAAAAAAAAATATGAATATTTGTAAAAACTTAAAATTGTTAAATTGTATCATTTTTCTTTTTTTTCTTCTTTTAATAAAATAATTATATATATTTTTTATTACAAGGTACATTAATTGTTGTTTTTGTATCCTCTTTGCTTTGCTTATTTTCGTTTTTATCTTTTATTTTTTCATTTATTTTAATATTATTTAATTTTATTAATTCATCACAAAGTGGAAAATACTTTTTTTTTATTTCCTCGTTTTCAATAATATACGGTTGTTTTCTAATTATATAATTTAATTGATGTTTTCTAAATAATTTCATTAAACAGTCTTCTCTGTTATTAGCTTTAAAACCACAATGATTATTATTTAAGATATTTTTAAGCATACTACCTTCATACTTCTTTGATAAAGTTTTTATATCTTCTTCATTAATCATTAAATGAAAATAATCAGTTTTATTTTCTAAAAATGACAAAAACATTTCTATTAAATCATCTATAGAACTAAAGTCACGAGCAATAGCCATTAACATATTTTCATGTCTTTCATATGCCATTTTCTTATTTGTACTTTTATAGCTTTTTATTTTTACTTTTTCTCAAAATCATATGATGCAGATATAAAAACAAAGGAAAAATTTTAATAAATAGTATATGTTATATCTTAATTGTATATTTTTCAAAAAACACAACATACAGCTAACTTTTAAAATTTGTTTAAACTCTCTAGGGGTTAAATTGTTATTTTTTTTTTTTTTTAAATACATATATTTTTAATGTTTGAATTTCAAATTGTTTTAATTTTACAATAACTGATTCATATAAATAATAAATTTTATATTATTTAAAATTTGCAATATTAAAACTATATTATATATATTTTTTTTTTTTTTTTTTTCTCATAATTTCACATTTTTTTTATTTTCAAAGAAGTGTTACTATTAAAACTATATATTTTCTTTTATATTCCTGAATAAATAAATATGCAGTAATGAAAAATAAAATGCTAAAACAAATATAAGATAAAAAAAAAATAATATAAATGAATTTATCCCATTATTAATATTTATATATAATTTAATATTTAAGATTAAGCGTTATATGTTCTATTCATTTATTTAAAAAATGTGTTAGTTCAAAAAAAAAAAATTTATAATAGAATTTAATTTATCATATAAAGCTAGAATACTAATCGAAAAATGATCTTTGAAATATTTATTAAAAACTTGAATATCTTAATTTTTTTAAATGAAAATTATACTTTTTTTAAAGTATATTAATTATGAAGCTTGAGCCTTCTTAATGACTACTTAAATACAGTGTAACATAATTACCATGTTAGATAATCAATTAATGATTTTTGAATGCTTTTAAATATTATGAAATAATCTTTTTCTTATACCTGCATACTTAATATATATTTTTAATATATTCTTTTAAAAAATTAAAAAAAAGAAATAAAAGAACACAGTTTTTATTTTACGTGTTATATTTTTTTATATAAGAATATTATTTAATTTTCTATAGGACGTTCCAAAAAAAAAATTTTTAAAATAATGTTAATAAAAGAAGTGAAATATTATTACATTAAGAAATACATAAGTATATTGTTTTTTTTATCAAAAAATTATTAATAAAATATTTGAAAATTATGAAAAAATATGCAATAATTTTTCAATAATTTAAATTAAAATTGAACTCAATTTATAATTTTTTTATATATTAAATATATTCTATAATTAAAGGTATTTATTAAAACTTGAAAACAAAAAAAATTAGTAATTAACTATATAAAAGATAAAAAAAACTTTAAAAAAACTTAATTTTTATATTTGACATTTATGTTACAATCTTAAAATTTCATATGCTCAGAAAAAAAAAAAAAAAAATAACATAAAATAAAAAAAAAGCAGTTATTTTGATTAATTAACTTTTAATTCATTTTTCAATTGTTCAATTATTTTTCATACATAATTCTATAAAAATAAAAGATTGCATATATATATTTTTAAATAAAAATATAAATACATATATATGCATATGTATATATATACATACATATATATAAATATATATATATATATATATAAATATATATATATATATATATATATGCATGTATGATGTATCTATTTTTTGACACAAAGATAAAAGCGTTGTTAAGAAAAATATTATAATTAACATAAGAAAAATTAGCATATATGTGATAAATAATGTAAAATATATAGAAATTTCATGTATTTTTTTAAAAAAGAAGCTACTTCTACAAGCAAGTAATGTATCTTTTAACTAATATAAAAGTAAATTTAAATATTAACTATGCATGAATTATTCGCTCGAATAAAGTAGAGATTTTTTCCATATAATGGGAAAAGGAAAAAAAAACGTTTTTTCGTATTAACTTTTTATATTAACTTGCATGCGTTCTTTTTTTTTTTTTTTTTTTTTTTTTTTTTTTTTTTTTTGGAGCCATACAATAATAAAAAAAAAAAAAAAAAAAAAATTTCTATCTTTAAATATTCATTTACATAAAAATAATTAAAAAAAATTTTTTTAAATATTTTTAATTAAAATTTTTTTTATATATGTAATTTATTATATTGTAATAATTTTATTTCTTTATACCTTGTTATATAAAACCAAAAAAAAAAAATAAAAATCTTTTTATAAATATATAAAAAGTAATATTTTAAAATAAATATTGTTTTATAATTTAAACTTCTGTTCAGATAAAAAAAAATCCTTTTATTTAAAAAAAATTGTACAAAATGTTTTATGGTAATAATATACATAAAAATATTTTAATTATGACAAATTTTTTAAAATAATGTTTACATGCTGAGTATTTTAATAAATTAAAAAGTACTCATATTTTCAATGAAGTATCTTTATCATTTATTTCATGGAATATATTTATTTTTTATGTTATAGATTAATATGATTCATTTATATATATTTTAATTTCTTTCTCATATATTTTGTAATATGAAAATTTAATGGAGATATCGAAAATACTATGTTATTTTATAATACTTGATACAAATATAAGAATACATATTTTTATTTTACGTTTCTATTTATGCTTCTTTTTTTTTTTTTTTTTTTTTTTTTTTTTTTTTTTTTTTTTTTTTTTTTTTTTTTTTTTTTCACATAAGTACTATATTTTTTATGCATACATGAATTCTTATATGAAATATTAAATGTTCTTTATGATATTTTATTACATACTTTTAAATGTAAATGTATTTTTTCTCATATATTTTTTATGAATGAAAAGAATAAATAAATATATTATTTTGTTCTGATTCATAACTAGTATCATTTTATAATTTTTTGAAATATTTACTTATTTTATATACAAAAATTTATAAATATTTATATATTTTTTTTTTTTAATTAGGAAAAGTAATAAAAGCAGGTGAAACAATAATCCCTGAAGTTAAAGATGGATATTCCGTCATTCATATATCAAGAGCTTGTTTAAATAATCCTAAGGAAGATGGCAAGGTTTATGTTCAAGTAGAAGATAGTAAAGGATGCTACAATATATGTTGCTTACAAAAAAATGTTTGTGAAGACACTTCATTAGATATATTTTTGATGTTAGATACTGATGTAAAAATTAAAACAAGTGGAAGCAAAAATGATGTTCATATTGTTGGTTATTATGAAGTATCATTTGGACAAGATAATATGGATGAAGATGAGGATGAATTTGAAGATGAAGATGAATATGAAAATGAAGAAGTTAGAATGTTAACAAAAAAAAATACATTGAAGAATTCTTTATCTAATGGAAATGCTAAAAAAAAAAAAGATGTTGAAGATAATGAAGACGATGAAACAAATGTAGGAAAAAATGATGAAGATGATGATGACGATGAAGAAGATGAAGATGAAAAAGATAAAGATGATGAAGATGAAGATGAAGATGACGATGATGATGATGATGATGATGATGAAGATGGTGATGATAAAGACGATGATGAAGATGATGAAGATGAAGATGAAGAAGATGATGAAGATGAAGATGATGATGAAGCAGAAGATGCTGAAGAAAAAGAAGATGAAGATGACGATGGGGATGAAGAAGAGGTAACAAAAAGCAAAGGTGATAAAAAAAAAAATGAACAAAAAAAAAGTGGAGGTAATAAAAATAAAAGAGCTTTAGATAATAAAAATGAAGGTCCTTCAAAAAAGTCAAAATTAGATGATGAGAGCCAATATGAAAAAGATCTTGTAGCATTTTTAAAAAAAAATGGAAAGAGCAAATTAACTGAATTAGGAAAAGTAAAAAGACCTGAAAGTGTTAAGGTTAAATTAGGATTTTTTATCAAAAAACGAACAAATGTTTTTAAATTTGATAAAGATGGACAAACAGTATCATTAAAATAATTAAATGTATGTTTTAATTTTTTAAATATTTAAAAAGTAAAAAAAAAAAAAAAAAAAAAAAAAAAAAAACAGAAGTGTAAAATATATTTGTAATTTTTATTATTTATTATTGTTGACAATGAATAGGTTTTACTCTTATATTAATATTTAATAGTATTTCAATAACTTTTTATTTTTTCATTTTATTTATATTTCAGTATTAATAATTATAGTTTATTTCCCTATTTATCATATATCTATTTGAACATATTTATATAAATAATATATAAATTAAAAGAATTTAATAAGATTTATGTTTTTATTTCAATCTACATAAAAATTAAAAAAAAAAAAGAAAAAAATGTTTTGTAAATATATTTTGTTACATTAAATTATTTATAAAAACATATATTTTAAACATATATATTTTAGATACTATATATACATTAATACTTATATCTTAAGCTTTAATCTTTTATAAAAATTCTTTATATTCAAAAATGAGTAATTAAACTTTTAATTAACAACTTTTAAATAACTTTTAAAAAATTTTATTATTATTATTAAATTCAAAAACATTTAACATTTTTTTTTTTTATTATGCATAATTTAATAATTCAAAAACATTATATTAGCTAGTTACATAAGTAAAAAAAAAAAAAAAAAAAAAAAAAAAAAACTTTTAAAATAATGAATGCTCAAATATATATAATTACGTAGTAAATCATTTTAAAAATTTATATTTTTTTTTTTTTTTTTTTATTTCAAAATTATATAAAGTACAGAACATTACACAAGTTTTGTTTATATTTATGAACGTAATAATTTTTACATAGAAAAAAATTATATGTAATAAATATAAGGTTTAAATAATAAAAATATTATAAAAAAGAATAGAAAATTTTAAAATATTACAAATATATATAAAAAGTAAACAAGAAAATAATAAGAAGAATAAAGGAATAACAACATAATAATGTACTTTTCAGTATGTGCCATACTGATTAGATTCTCTAGCCCTCTGTTTTATACTATAAATATATAATAAAAATTAAAAAAAATATATATATTTCTTTTTTTTATATTTATTTTTTTTTTTTAGTATATAATTACAAGTAATAATCTGGATCTTCTGTGTTTTTGTTCTGAATATTTTTTTGATTTGTTATGTTATCACATTGGTCTAAATCATAATCATCGTTACATATATTGACTTTGTTCATATCTATAAAAATATAATAATTTAACATATTTAAAATTTATAAAATATTGTTTAATTAATATATAATTATATTTTATTATATTAAACGAATTAAAAACATTCATAAATGTTTCATCGTTCATTTTATAAACTAATTTCTTTTTAATGTAGTAACTATTAATATTTTTTTAATTATTGCTTTTCTTCAATTGTATTTTTTATTTTTTTTTTTTCATTTTATATAAATTAAATAAAAATATTAAAAATATAAAAATAGATTAAGTACTGTTATCATCATCCGATTTATAGTTATCCTAAAAAAAAAAAACAACATATTAATTTTACTAATATCATATTAAAAAAAGAAAATATATACATATATATACTATATTTTAAAATAATAAAAGTAAAATAATACACTAGATAAATATATATCAAAAATTAGTGTCCATTTTTTGCGTACCTTCATATTATAATTATCATAATTTTTCTCCATATTATCACAATTATATAAATCATTTTTCCTTTTTACATTAATATTGTGCCCTTGATAAATTCTATAATGAAAAATGTACATTAAAAAAAATAAAAATAGAAATATTAATGAATATTACACATTTTTTTTTTGTTTAAATATCTTTTTATATTTAAAAGCGTATTTTTATTTATTAACAATTTTTATAAATTCTATAAATGCAAAACTCGTATTTAATATAGCAAAAATAATTTAGAACCTAACATATTCTAAATTCAAGATTTTTTGGGTTTATTTTTTCTGTAGGTATATATATACGTGTACATAAATGTATATATATAATTAATAAAAAACTATATACAATTACTTCTGTTTTTTTTTTTTTTTTTATTATAAATATATATGTAAATAAGTACAAAAACTTCTTGAATATTAACTTAAATATGGTAAATAAAAAAAAAAAAAAAAAAAGAATAAAAAAAAGGAAAAAGAAAAAGAGAATTAATAAATTAATAATTTTTTTTTATACAATTACGGAATGTATGCACATAAATAAGATTAAATATAATAAACATTTTAAAAAATGGAAAAAAAAAAATAACTTCTCTTTGAACTTTATAAATTTATTCATAAATTTTTATAAAATTAAATATAAATTTTTTAAAAATTTTCATGAAATGCGTATATATAAAATAGTATGGTAATAATATTTATTTAAATAACAATATAAATCATTTGCATAAATAATCATATTGGACACTTATATTAATTAAAAATATTAAATACTTAAATACATCAAAAATTCATTTAATTATTCACATATATATGTGGATTCGTGCATTTACTTTTTATTAAAACTATTAATTGGTGGTGGTAGCGGAATATTTTGTTGATACATATTACTTCTGAAATTATTATTATATCCTCCATTCATGTATGGATTAATCATATTACTTGATATATTGGGATTAACATTGATAGGCATATTGGTCATGCTATTCTGAACATTTTGAGATAAATTATTGGGTATAGTTTTAAAGTTATTAACAAAAGGGAAGTTGTTTTGCTTATAATTTATATTTTGATTTGGAATATTTACATTATTTGGTTGCATACTAATATTTGTTGGTGGTGGTGGTGGTAAATTCATATTTCCCTTCTTATTTAAAGAATAATTCATATTATTTTGAATCATGTTATTTTTATATGGTTGTTGAAATTCATTTTTAGTTACCTTATTTTTATATTTTCCTCCTTTAAATTTATTTATATTCATTATATTATTCACATTTTTCATCATATTCATATTATTCATGTTCATAGGCATATTCATTGGCATATTCATAGGCATATTGTTCATTGGGATGTTGTTCATCATATCTTTTTTCATTTTATTATCTCCTTTCCATCCTGAAATTCTAGGATCATATTTTAATGTTAATCTGGATATCAATACACTTTTACTGTTAATTGAATAAAGTTTAAATAAAAAACATTCATTTACATGACCTAATTTTTCAATTGGATAATCAAAAACTTGAGGAGGAATTTTCAAAACATTATATTCATCTGGATCTTCTTTTTCTTTATTTTCTTCATTTTCATTGTTATTTGTATTGTTTTCTTCTTGTTCACCATCATTTTGTGTATTATTATTATTATTATTATTATTATTTTCGTCATTGATAGAATTACTTTTATACATTTTATTTTTATAATCCGTTTCTGTCATCTTAAAACAATAATATTTACAATTTTTTAACCATTCTGGTATCTCATTTACAATAGGCATATTAAACAAAACAGGTATCCAATTAGGATGAGCAGATAAATTTAAATTATAATCCTTACTATTTTCTCTTAAAACATTACAAAATTTTGCTAATTTTTTCGGTTCTATTGATAAAAATGGTAAATTCGTTGTCTTATTAGCAGCAGCAGTAGCAGTAGTAGACATATTATTATCATTATCATTATTATTTGCAGAAAAATCGCTTCCTGTTTCTGCTGGGAATAACAAATAAACATAACCATCATTTTTTATTATATTTTTACTGCTTTTTAAAAAACTAAAACAAAATAAATTTAAACGTAATTTAAACATTTCCGTTTGAGGATCAATAAAATCTGGATATCCATGAAATGATAATCCAGGTAAAATATAATATAAAGCATCAAAAGTATTCGGAGGAAATTTTGATTTTAATTGAACTGGATTTATACCATAATGAATTACAACATTTTTATTTAAGGATTGAATATTATTTTTACTTTCTTGTTTTAATTCATTTTCTTTTAAACAACTACATATTTCAACAATATCATCTTCATGATCTACTAAAAATCCATTACAAAAACTGAAATTTTCATCACCAAATAGTAGTATTCTCTACAAAAAAAAAAAAAATAAAATAAAATAAAATTAAGAATACATAAATATGTACACAATCATATATACAACTATATTTTCATAGTATTAAAAAAATAAACAATAAAAATTCCTATGAAAATATATTTTTTAAAAAGAAACATGTTTTCATGTATAAAATATGAAATATAAATTTGTATGTCAAAAATGAATAAGAAAAAAGTAAACCACATAAATAAGTAAAAATAACATATAATTCATAAAAAAAATATAACATAAAATTTAAATATTTTAAAAATGTGTATATATTATTATTAATTAAAAAACATATAAAAATACTATAAGGAAATAATAATATCAAACATATTTTGTATGAAAAAATGTACTTTAAATAATAACTACTTCTCTATATCTATATATATATATATATATTTTTTTTTTATTTAATATGTAACTTATATATATTTATTTCTTACCATCTTCAGATAAAAATAAAAGAAAAAAAAAAGAAAAAGAAATATTCACTGAAAGATTGGATTATTTTTTAATTATAAATCTCAAATACAAAATTTTATTTTAGAAGTAATAATTTTTTTTAAAATTATTAATCTATTATAAAATTTACCCTTTTTTATTTTTTAATTTTTTCTTATATTTTCAATATCTTAATTTTTTTTATACTTGAATATTTTTTTAAAAATTTCTTCCTTATTTCTATTTTTTTAATTTTTTATTCTTTTATTTTTTATTTTTTTTTTTTTAAATATATTTATATATTTAGTTTTTTAATCACAATTATTCGTATTTTAAGAAAAACAACAATTTAATAGTCATTATATATAAAAGGAATTCATCAAATCATGTCATATCTTTTTGTAATGTTCTTTTTATATATGTACATTTATCTTTTACTAACGAATTTTTCTTTTAACTTTTAAAAATAAAAATATAATTACTTTGAATTTTTATTTTTAATTATTTTTCTTTTTTAAATTATTCTCAATTTTGTCATTTTAGTTATTTTTAATTTTACTTAATTTTTTTTTAAGCTTTTTTTTTTTTTTTTTTTTTTTTTATATAATTAAAAAAAAAAAAAAAATAA